GGGGGATCGAATTACCGTATCGTTTCCAGCAGCCTCCCGGAACACTTATATGCCTATAGTTGAGAAGTGGAATTTTTTGCCTGAAATTTACGTTTTACGGAGAAGCATGACACAAAAGGCTAGCGCGCAGAAAAATGCGACTTTTTAAACGATCAATTAAAATCTAGGCCGACCAGCCCGAAACTCAAGCGAAGGGAAACGCTTTGAAACAACCGCCCTGACCTACGATAAATTTTGAAGACGCGCAGATACATATGAAAATGCTCCCCGGAACCTGAAGTGCTTGCTAGCGGCAGATTTATCAGGATGGGCAACCGGCCATTTTTGCGAAATGAGAGCCTTTCGAAAATAGCGATTTCGAAATACTCGCACTCCGTGTGTCTAGGCTTCTCGTTTTCTGCTCGATTTCAAGGAGCACAGAAGCCCAGAATACGCACTGCTGAAAGCGGGACCAAACCATGTTAAAGTTCCAACTTTTTATATCCATTTTAGGGCTATATCCTAGCTCATAATGCTATGAGTTGGCGAAAAACCAAATGTTGTCGCACGCGTCTTTAGACCCGGCTCGTTGCTGTCGATAGGCAAAATAGTACGCTGTTGAGGCTTCCTTACCCCTTTAAAAATAGTCGTTACGGATTTGTCGTCGAGGGTTGCCGCTAATGTACTGACAGGGGGGCAGCCCGGATTTTGACTACAAGGCGCTCCAAATGCCGTTTTTTTTAACGCCTCTGGCAAAGTTAAAGGGATAACGACGGCATAATTAATCAGTGACGCAAGGGGAAAGAAAATATCTCTGCGTCTCGCCCCTGGGCGCGTTCTCTGTCCTATTGGCTACGTGCCAAAAAGTCGATCAGGGGTCATCGACCTATGCCGTCGGTATCCCTTTAAGTAAACTATAGTAAAAAGTTTGGTGGCTCTGGAAAGGCTAAGCTAAGCATAAGCCTAGGCGTAGCTTCCTACAAATGAAGCTTAAGTTTAACTTGAGCCTGGCTTGGGCGCATCAGCCTAACCCCAAGCTAACAAGGAGACGTTTTTGAGTGTCGTCGGGACTTTGGCACGGGACCAAGCCTATCTTGTGCAGAATTTTACGCTGATCGAATATGGTAACCGTTTTTGCGGAATAGCCATTTCTCGAAAGTTATGAACGATTTAAACGTCATAACAGCCCAAAATTGGCTACTTTCGATAGTCATAAAAGGCTTCGGAATAGGTTTTAGACAAAACTTGATAGTGCATCTTGTTCAGAAAAAAATTCTCTATAAAATAAGCTACTTATCTCAAAAATTCTGGAATTTTGCAAATTTTTGTAAAATTATGGACCTCCCAATTTATCAATTTTTTCCAACTTTGCAATGATTTTGGAGAAAATGGTAGATCTTATAGAGAATTTTTTTCTGAACAAGATGCACTATTTGGTTTTGTCTGAAACCCATTTTGAAGCCTTTTATGACTATTGAAAGTAGCCGATTTTAGGCTGTTTTGAGGTTTAAATCGTTCATAATTTTCGAGAAATGGCTATTCCGCAAAAACGGTTACCATATTCGAAATCAGCGTAAAATTCTGCACAAGATAGGCTTGGTCCCGTGCCAAAGTCCCGACGACAATCAAAAACGTCTCCTTGTAAGCATAGTTGAAGCTAAGTCAAGCCTACTCTTCGGAATGCCCCCCCCCCAGCCGCATTAGCACCGTTTTGTTGTCTTCGTGGAACCTCTGTCAGAATCTCGAAGATCGGAATCTCGAACATAGGCTCGAATTCCAGAGTCATGACATTTCAATTCAAAATATCGATCTCTAAGGCTAAAAAGAGTCTTTTTAAAAAAGGGCTTTTGGTTTTCGCAAAAAGAGACGAATTCTCGTGGCAACAAAAAGAGCTAAATTCCTTTCAAACTCTTTAAAATGCCACAGAATGCGGGAACAACAAAAAGTTGCTGGCTATTTAAAACCTTAATAAACTCGGTACCATCCCAGATCACAGGTCAGGTCCACAGATTAATTTCCAGAAAGTGCAAATAGATCCTAACAGAAATTATTTGCAAGCCGAAACCGCTAGAAACTAGATCTGTCCATTTTAATAAGATGCCAGCAACTTTTGGTTGATCCCACATTCTGTGGCATTTTTAAGAGTTTGAAAGGAATTTAGCTCTTTTTGTTGCCACGAGAATTCGTCTCTTTTTGCGAAAACCAAAAGCCCTTTTTTAAAAAGACTCTTTTTAGCCTTAGAGAGAATTTAGCCCTTTTTGCCTCAATCTTATTGTTAAGATCGTAAAATAAGCCAAGGAATACTCATTCAGATGAACCCTTGTACGCACAACTTCAAAAAAATTTGCCTGCGGCGCTTTGTGACGGCACTAGAAACCATAAGGATGCACGGGGGCCAATCGGCAAAAGCCATGCTTTGGGTGGGGTTCGAACTCGGGAGCCAAGTCTTCCCAGTACAGCGTGCTAACCACTAGGCCAACAGGGAGACTGGAGGCCTGTCTTGGGGAAGCTAGACCCGCCCGCCCTGGCCCGGGACTGGGGCCGCCAAAGGGGAGGGTGGCGCCCCGTATGGCGAAGGTTTAAAGTTATAATATCTCAGAGAAGAAGCATTCTTTCGTTGCAATTTCTTCTTTACTTATTCCAGCATGGTCTAATGTATATTTGAGCAAAATTTCAGCCCAAACGGACATCACTAACCATTGTTTTGACCGCAATTTAGCTTCTAAACTTAAAAATTAAATATAAATTTTTTAAAAGCCTATTTTGAAAAAAACTCTTCTTGCGGTCCGAGATTATCAGTCACCCAATAACTGTGCAAAATTTCAGCCCAAACGGATGGTGGGAAGGCACTTTTTGACGACTACAAAGGTTTTGCGTACATACACACACACATACAAACGCAGACCCCCCCCCCCTCGAAACGCAATTTAAATCGGCTGTTAAAATTCGAAATTTCACTCTTTTTAAATTTTTAAAAGCTTATAGTATGTAAAAAGTGTCGCCGGTTCCGATGGTGTATTCAGTTTCGCGATCCGATGCATGGCTCTTTTTTAAATCCGGAAAAGGAGCCCAAAAGAGTCGTATGGGGGGGTACCTCAAACCAAAAGGGGTTAGCGGGCTACGCCCGCTACCCCCGAATTTGCTATAGGGCGAGATGTACAATTCCCGGAGCGTTCAATCTTGATTCAGGCTATGGAAATGCGGGAACCTGAAAATTCGAGATGCCGATTTTCGAATTCTGACAGGTTCCTTTTTGGATTTTTCTTTCCATCTCTGGAATTGTCTTTTTATTCCCCATTTTTTTTGCATTTTTGACGAGTTGCCAGGGGGGCAGAAGGGGAGTGTGTCCAATTTCGTCACCGGGCACCAAGCCCAACCTCCAAAGGCGAGCTCATTTTTTGGGGGAAGAGGCCATTCCCACACAGCGGGACGCCCGGCACCGCACAGAGCGCGACCGATCCCTTTTGCTTCTTTTCGCCTCTCACTCTTTATCTCTCTTTTTCTCTCGCCCACCCCAGGGCCCAATCCCTCGTTCTTCTTCTTCGGGGCTAAGGGCCCCCGTCCCTTTCTGGTCCAGACACGCAATCCTCCCGTCCCGACACTGCCTAAGCTTTTCCTGGCCTCTATCATCCACCTCTCAGTTTTTTTTTTGATTAGATTCGAATTTCAATTTATTTCTGGTAATTGGATTCGATAGGAATTTCTGCCGCTATCGGAAACGGCTTTTCTCTGTTAGTCTTAAATTTTTATAGAAAACGTGTCTTTTTTTAATTTTTTAAAGCCGTTTCTGCAAAAAAAAATTAAATTTCAAATTTAAAAGACTTGGAAAAGTAGAAATTATTTTTTACAGCGATTTTAATATGAACAGAGCAAAAGATAGAACTCATCAAAATCGAAACCGCTCAGCTTTTGCCAATTTGGACTACGTGGCGCTACTTCTTACACCTCCACACTATGCGCTTGACTGCAACTTCCGTGACTTTGCGCTTACGCTTTTGAGAAGAGACGATCCCTTTAAAACACGGATTTCGCGAAAATTATAGTCCACCCTACGCCCTATGCACTTTTAGCGAGACGAAAACGGGGTGGGCGGGGGGTTAATCTCGATCCTTGGATGGGACTCTTCAATGAAACGTCCCGGAATGGACCCGAATGATAGCTATCTAGCGCCAATTCCCGATAAGAACCCCGGGCGATGCTTATTTTGCACTCTTTCACCTCGTTCCGCGGCCGCGGGCTCGCTATTTTTGGTTTTTATGCAATAATCATTTCAGAAAGGTATTTTACCTTTTTTAGAATTCATAAACTTCCGAAAATCTTAGGTTTTCAGGGTAGTTAAAGTATAGGGTTCCTACGTTTAGTCGTTATCATCCATTTGGTGGTATTATCTCTCGCCCATACTGAAAGTGTCCGCTGGATTGCAGCGTTTTCGAAACTCTGCGTACGATGCGCTACTACATACGACGCTTTCCTGTCCTCCCCATACATTTTCTCGCTTTTCGAGTTCTTTTTCCATTCGAATACCCCCTTAAAAATTTTAAAAAGCCGTCTCCAACTCTAAAAACGTCCCGGGTGGGTGGCCTAAAAACTCGAGCTTTTTTTGATGAATGGTTTTCGGGTTTGACCGTCGCGGCTCTCTAACCGGTGCCCATTCTCTTACATTGAAAAGAGGGGGGAGGAGGTCGCTGGGGGATGTCCCGCCCCTCTTTTGCAGAGTTCGCTCCCCCCATCCATTCGCCTTTTGCCCACAATTTTCAATCCAGGACCGGGCTTTTTTTAAAAAGCTTCCAGGCCGTCTTTGCCAGGATATAAGCCAGCTTTGGAATGTAGAAAATTATTCGCTCTCCATTCCCTAGATGCTCCTCGATCTATTCGGTTTATGTTTTCAGATTTTTAGAGCTTCATAACGCTATTTTTAACCTATTTTTTTTCAGACAGGGCCCCTCGGGCCCCACTCACTTGCTGAACCTACATCTATCCGGGAGAAGGACTTCCTTTTTTTTCAAACCTCTACCATCACCATGTCGCCCGTCGCCGACAAAGAGGTCGTCATCATCGGTGAGTAACAATTTTCTCGTATTTCCTCATCCCCATCTGCGCTTCATCAGCTTTGCCCTAAATCACAGCCCCCGTAATTTCGTTTGCCATTTCTTTTTGTCCTATACGCATCGAAATAACCGCCGAAATTGGGGGTGACTTTTAGCAGTTCGATGACCTCTTAGGGGACGTTTTCTGGTTTTTACTAGCTTGTTTTCGTGCCTTTTAACGCTCTGAGTTACCTTTCGATATTTTTAACGCAAAACTACCTTCTAGAATCCATTTAAAGCTCCTAAAAATACATACCAAATTCAAAAACTAAAATTTGGCCGCCAATTTTTCACATCCCTTCGCAACAACTCCAACCTAGCATCCGGTCTTACCGGTCCCTTTAATTGATCTTCTTCATCTCTAGGGTGTCGTTATAGCCCGCCGTCACATGTTGGCGATGGTCGGGGGTGGGGAGGGGGGTTAGAAGCTGGTTTCCTCGAGGCGCACATCTCCCTCTTCTTCCCGTCAACGTCTTTTCGCCCCGGCGCGCACGGCTACACCAACACCACCCCCGAACAGCCCGCAAGAAGTCAAGGGTGGCGTGAAACCAAAAATATCCGTGGCTTTCATCGGGGTTCCTAGCTCTTTTTTCGTCGGTTTGGTGCTTTTGCATTATCGGGGGGTTGTTTTTCTTTCAGCCACATAGGCCCAGAGCTAAAAAATTCATAGGAAGTAGTTTAGTTTTACTTTTATAAATCAATTTTAGCGATTTTTGGAGGGAATAACCTATTTAATAAACACAGAAATGAATCTTAAAATCGAAAATTTGGGAAAATTACGATTGAAGTCTGTAAATCGCTAGATTTTGTTGCTGAAATTGACGTAATTTGTAGATTCAAAAATATTCGAAAACTATCTATAAATTTCGGCGATAAATGTAACGGCATTACGAAAGAACCGATTGGTTTCCTCGTCCAACTTTCATCCGAGCCCAAGGCAAGATATTGCAAGCGTTTTCCCACTAATAGACCACTGTGCGTAATTTCCTTGCCAATCCGAAACCTTCTCGCAAACGTCTTTTTTGGCTGTTTACCCAGACTTTCTCATGACGGTCCACGCGTCGCGCGCGACATGCAAATCTTTCGCGAACAATATTGACGTGCCCTCGGGGGACATCGGAGAGTGCATCCGTTCTTTAGCGAAACATTCGGGCTTTTGCAATATCTTTCTACCCAGGGGGTAACGTTCAACCCTGGCTATAACCCCTGGCTTTTCGATCGTCATTAGCAATCTTTTTGATAATCTTGAACAAAAAAGTGTGCGGGGGATAGCTGGCAGTTTTATTTTAATGGAGCGGCGGACTGACTCTTTGTTGCTGACCTCTATGACCGGAACCGCTTGTGGCAGTCGTCGTGAAAAAATTTGTTTTTGATAGCGCGCGAAGTGGTGGACGCCATTTTGTCAGAGATTTTCGTTCTTTTGCAATATCGGGGGGGGTCAATTAAAAAAATAGAAGGCCAAAAAATCAACACTCTGATGTCCCCCGTAATCGAGCGATCCGTTTTTTCGGGCGGACTGGTTGGTTGGTTGGACGGAGGATTGGGGTGGAGGTCGTCTTCTTGACTCTGGGGATACGGGCAGCCAATGATGGATGTGACCTGAAATGTGAGGTGCCGACCCGCCTCTCCGCGCTGCTTCTCTTTTCCAACGAGTGCGCAAAGTACCAAAACGTCGCATGGGCATTGAACAATTTTTTTCCGGAGGCCACATGCCGCTCAAATTGACGGGGGAAGGGGGTTATTTTGAAGCGGCCAAAACCCGGGAGTCTTACGGCCGGTTACCCGATCTCCGGTGCACGGGTTGAAGGAGGGCCCCAAAAAAGCTCAAATTTTTGGACCACCGGGCTCCTGGCCAACTGCCTGATGTGAGCCTCTTTTCGAGAGGTCACCCAGGGCCCTTGGCCCCCTAAAAAAACGCTCCTTCCCCACCACCCTCTCACCGGCGAACCCGAAGCGGGGCAAATAGCGAAACCGGGCGGAAAAACTGGCGCTTTTCCCTGCCCCCCGAGCTCATCGAACGATAAAGAAAACATTGACCACCACATCCGGTCAACGGGATTGTAGCGGAAACGGTTTTTAAAAATGACGGTCACTTGATAGGGATTCTTCGAAAAGCGCAACGTTATAACGTCAGATCGAACGGTACTGGGCTCCTATATGGGGGCCCAAATTTGTGATCTAAAAACCTAAAAAATTGCTCAAATTTTCCTACCTAAATCTATCCTTACTTAAAACATACCGAAGTTTCCGAAAAATTTTGGTTTTTGGTAAGAATATCGTATTTTTAGATGTTCTAACAATGTTTTATGATCTTTAGTACTCAAAAACTATTAAAAACTATAGAAAACGCGCTATCAAAGGCTAGAATTTTTTGTTAGGTAGATAAGATAGATAACACCCCCCGCTAACAGCCCAAAACTTGCCAGCTTGTTTCTGAAGCTGAGTTTCCTTGGGATTTCGTTAGAAACGAACCAGAATTTTTATAAAAATGGATTTAATAAAATAGTGATAAGAATTTCTGCTTTTTTTCAGGAAACGGGCCAGCCGGACTAGCCCTGTCATCATTCCTCTCCGGCGTTTCGCCTTTCTACTGCGGCCCGCATCCGGATCCCGTGCTCCACGATCGGCTCTCCGAAAATGCGCATCTTTCGCTGCTCGACCAGGTATTTTTTTCTTTATTCCTTCCGCTTCTAGTGGCGCATTTCGATCCAAATCACCGTCCTCAACTCCCATATATCCACGCCAAATACCTCAGGCATCACCGCGCTTCCGCTCTCCATACATCATAACTGACAAAATCGGAACCGCTTGATTGATCTCCCGCCCTTACCTCTCTTCCTACCGTAACCGCGGTCTCTTTTTTTTATTGCGTGCTCTTTTCCCCTGGCCCGCTCAACCTGATATCACCGTGGGTGCGGGGCGCAGGACACGTGTGCACGGCGCTGGAGAAGCCTTTTTTCTGTTTTGTTGCCCGGGCCGTGGCAATCTTCTCGAATCGCCAGGCTGAGTTCGCCCTTCATTCGGGCACAACGGCCACAAACTATAGACTCCAACTCGAAACCACAAATACTACTCCCGGGGCGCTGTCATCGTTTTGCGTTGCTCAGGGGAACAAACAAAACACTAGGATGGTGGGGCCACGAGTTTGGTGGTTTGTGCGGGGAAAATTCGCGGTTGGACGGTCGGGAATGGGTATAAAATTTTAAATGTTATAATTACAAAATTTGGCATAATCGAATTAATACAGGTTATTTTTGATAGCGAGTAAGTGAATTTTTATGTTCCAAAACTATCCAGTCCGTCGCACATCCTACCTTATATAATTTTGGCGTGTATCTTTGTGTGTGTGTGTGTGGATGTCAGTTTCGAGGCCCGATTTGAGGGCCTTCCGTGCATAAAATGCCCTAATTCTCCGTCACCCGGGGGAATCGACCCTTCTGTTTCCGATGGCGTTCTCAGAATTTCGATAAAATACAAGTTTACAAAGTTAAAGCCGGTTTTATTCATTTTTGGCGGTCCCTGAGGGCTAATTTGCATAATGCGAGAAAATACAAATTTCCTCATTCTTGCGAGTTGCACGCGCGCGTGTGGTGGCGGGGGTCCGGACCCGAACTACCGGAAAGTCAAATTTCTCATGCAACGCACCATTCCAGCGCCCAAGGCCCGCGAAGCGGGTTTTGGGCGCTGGTCCCCAAATAAGCATCACGCCCCTCTAATTTCCGCTTCAGATCTTTCATGCCATTCGTCGGGGCAAGCCGGCCATTGAACATTCTGCTTTCTGTGTGCCAATGTGCCCAAAATGGGCCCCGGGCCCCGGCAAACAAAATGCCCAGCACAAACCATAATCGCGGGAGGGGCGCTGTGGGATTTCTCTTTGCCCAAAAAAAGATCGCGCTCCCCCGGGCCGCATAAGGCTTCTCCCAAAAAAAAGTGATGCTTCAAATTGGCGGGTTGATTGGCGCCGTGGAAAATAATATTTAGGTTCTTTTGCATTATCGGGGGGGAAGCGGATTGCTCCTATGAGTCCAGTGTCTAGAAAGGCCATAGAACATTTTTAATCGTATTTTTATGAAATTTAGCGATATCAAGTGAAAAACTATTTGGAAAATGTTTGGAAATTTTGAATTTCGGTTGAAAACGCTAGGTAGCTTTTGGTAAAAGTTGTTAGCGTTTTTGCCTTTCGGAATCGTAAAAATACGAAGAACAAGATTAGAAAATTAGATAAATTGTATCCGAAAAGAAAAACTCCTCCCCCGATAATGCAAAAGAACCTATCTTGCTTTTCTGGCCTTGATCGACAATTTGGGTGGCGATGAACCCTGAAAACACTTCGTGACCTCGCCGCAAATATAAAATACGGGTTATGGAATGCGTGACGCATCCGGGGGCTATTTTCGAAAACACGGCCTTCAGTGGACCGCCCCGGGGGGTTTTGTGTGCAAATGACTGGCACTAGTGGCACCGGGTGGAACGGGGGGAAGATGCCTGCCTGATTGTTGCCTACACAACATGCCTAGCAGCTTGGAAGTGGCTAACCGCCTGGGATGAATCTATCGGCCATCAAAATGTGAAATCAGCGCCAGAGAATCGCACCGGTCGACCCAGAATCCAATCTATTTTTCAGGATCTGTCGTGGGTGTCCGGCTGGGATGAGCTCAGCTCGTCGCTGCGCCCGATCAACGCCTTCTACGACCAGCTCGTCCGGCCGGCCGCTGATCTTGGGTTGGTTTTTTGAAGTTTTTGGTCCCGGAAGCTTTGTATGAAAATTAGATTTCAGCTGGACTTGGAAAACCGATGTTAATCGTCAAACTTTAGTGAACTACGACCGTCAAGCCTCGAGTGGCGGTTGAACCCCGATAAAGCCGTTGACCACCTCGTCCTCGGCGACACCGCCATCGGCGGATCCTGGAACGGGTACGATAAAGAGGTTGGTTTTTAGCTTTTGGCGGTAAAATGAATTTTTGCCATTCCATTGGCCTATTTCGACACCGCTCTGTTCTTTCTACGCAACGCCGAGACTACAAAAAGAATAAAGCGGGGCTGGATTATGGCGCGGCCGGGGGTCGCATTGATAACGGGGTCGTTTCCCTGTTAGCCAAAGGCTTTTCCCCCTTATCTGTAAAGCAGCTGATTCGTCAAAATTTTTGGGGGTGACGAAGGGAGTCTACACGAGGCGTGAGGGGTAGAACACCCAAATAGTGCATAAATGGTGATTTAAATAATTTTTACAGATGGCTGCCGTCTCGTATCACAGCTGGCTGAATTTGCCCGGTTACTCGATCGGAGAATGGCTAGGAGGTGAGTGGAATTTCATTTTTTTGCGGAAAAAAGCGTTGGTTCTAGCCTAAATAGACTAAAATATGTTAATAAATTATTACCCTCATTTGCAGACGAACCGCCAATGTCTCGAATCCCGGCCGTCGTCTACTGCAAGTACATGGAGAAGTACGCGAAACACCTCGGCATCCGCAAACATTTCCGCCCGCACAGCCGAGTCACCAGCATTACGGTAATTGTCCGGGCTGTACTAATGACGGGGATCAAAGACAAGCTAGCTCGGCTTCTTAATGTTTCTTTATCTAAGGGAAAAATGACCCAAAAACGTGGCGTGGGAGTTGCTCCTTCGCGTTTTTTCCGCCCAAGCAGCAAATAGAAAAAGGAAGCCCACCCCCGATCGCCTGGAAATAGATCAAGCAGGCGCAGGACAGCTGGCCGCCCCGTCAGCCCCACGAAATGAACTCCGTGACCCCGGGGAAGAAATGTCTAACCCGAAAAAAGGGCACAAAAACGGCACAGTTGTCTCGTCATGCAGGCGCTTTTTGGCGATCCCGGGCGAAAAAGTGACATCTTTCCGAGGGGAACGGGCAGAAATCGGTGTCATCACTAAATCACCAATTTTAGAAAGAAGGCCACCTATGGCGAATCAAGGGCGCCTTCCTGAAGTGCGGCGTCAAGTGGCAGACGTTCAACGTGACGGCAAAACGGGTCGTGATGGCTTGCGGCAAGACCAAGATCCGGAGGTTACAGGTTGGGCTTAACGACGTTTTTCTAAACGTCAATTTAGGTTGAGGGCGAGGGCGAGTCGAAGAACATTGCCTACGACATGAAATGCTTGCGGAAAAAGCTGACAAGGTTGTTGACGCATCGCAGGTGGGGATCTTGGAACGTTTTCGTTATCACGGCGCTTTTTTAGTTGCCCCTCGGACATCCGGGTCGTTGTCGTCGGGGATGGGATCTCCTCCGCTGATATGGTCCACTTCTGCCTTTCTCAAGGAGTACGTGTCCTCCACGTCATCAAGAAGAGCGAGAAGCAGCTACGAGGTGGGTCCAGAATATCCTAGTTTATTAACACTTCAAAACCAAAATCTAAATAAAAAACGTAGGCAACCAATAATCAAACAAAGCGACCTTTTCAGCGACAGTGATGTCCCGCCTCTCCGCCAGCCACTACCCCGAATACCACCAGGTTCACCGGCTAATGACAGGCCGCGAAACTAACGAGCTCTACGAACGGCGCACCGACTGCACGGCCACCCGATTGTCCGATGGATGCGCCACCGTATCCGGAAAGGGCAATGGGTTCGAGTCGGAGGAGCCGTACAACCTGCTCGGCGTGTGCATTGGCCGCGAGTCGGACGGCGCGGGTCTGCTCGACAAGAAGTACACGTTTGACGGGTATCAATGCCGGGAAGACGCCACGCTGCTCTCGGTCGGCAGCTTCGCGGGCGATCACTTTGTCAGGTGGGTCATTCAATAGACATGCTCGCTATTAGGGGGTCCGTCGTAAAAGTCTGAAATACGGAAAAACCTAAATAGTAATTTTTCCTTTTCTAAAAAACCAAACGAAATTAAAAATAAGGGAATCCATAAAAACCCAAGCATCTTCAGATACCTTGTCGGTGGCTGCTTGGAAGTGGCTCGCGGCATCCATTCAGCTCTGGGGACACCTCCTTCAGTGCTCGACGCCGACCCAGCGGCCCTTGAGCGCTCGTTCTGCTCCTCCTCCTCCAACTCTTCCGACTCGCTACCGTTTTGTTAGCTTAGACGGTGCAAGCGGCTATATTTATTATCGCCATATCCCATTTGCTATGCCCCCGAACCCCCTCAAAGCGTGTTCCCTCCTGACCCCATGGTTGTTGTACGGTGGAATTTTTACGTTTGAAACGTGTCCTGATTCGATGTGCCCTTACGCCCGAAACCCAGTCAAGTAGTACATTATTGGTCGTTGCAAGCCCCTCCAAATGCCTCTACGTCTAAACTGAACCCGACGGATCTCGTATTACGTGTGTAATAATAATGCGCAGATAAAGCCTGACTGCAATAGCATGAATTGGAGGTACGAAAGCAGCCTAAAACAGAGAACAGATTCATTAAAGATCGTATGCAGACATCGAATCGGAGTGATAAACGAATGATACGGTAGTAGAAGGATAAACAGATTTACGAATTTCCTGACGAAGTGTCGATTGGGATCTCTAGTTCGGCGAAGCGCAGTGGAATCTCTCGCTGCAGGCTCCTAAACGACACATCAATGTTACCTGACATTAAAACAACCTGATGACACGCTGAAACATCGGTGACGCCTGCTTTCGCCTATCTTCATATCGAAGCGACCGGTACGGTAGGTGTAGAATTGTTGCAAGTACAGTGCCAGTCAATAAATCTTTCTGAAAAGCAAAATAGTGGTAATAAAAAATCCCACATCAATGAGATCTATCAAATAATTGACGCGGGCCCTCACTTCCGGCAACGCTGATTTGCTGTGAAGAGAAATATGGTAGATTTCCTAAACCGCAAGGTTTTACAAATCGCTTTAATTACCAGCGCAATCACGTGGGCTATCAACGAACGGAGCGCGGACTTGCTTTGGCGCGGTAGGTGTTCCCAGTTGCTAAAAAAAACACTATCCCCGAAATGCTCCCTACTCCATATCCAAAAGTCCTTTGCGCAATCGCCTGGCCACATCGACATCCAGCTGCGACTTGGTCATGGCCCTCAGGTTCTCGACGAAGCTAAATCAGGAAAGATTGAATCGGAAAATAGCTTTACCGACGATCAAAGACAACGGTTGAACGATGAGCGGCGCGTAGGCTTCGGCGCAACTTGGCGTAATCACCATTCTAAAAATGTCAGGATCCGGAAGATCTATTTTCCTACCTTTAATGCTGCGAACTCTGATTCCTCGCTTTCAACGATGGTTTTATCTCCATCATTTTCAGAGAGAATCGATGTGTCGTCTCTGAAGCAGAAAACTACTTGAATCGTGAGACAACCGTTACCCGTTGAGGCTTTCATTCAGGGTTGCCGAGCTCGAGCTTCTGTCGCTTTGTTGACTAAATAAGGGGGGCTCCACTAAAAAAATGGTAAAACCTGCAAAAGCTGCGCACAGGCAATTGCACCGGCTGCCAATATTTGTCGACGTCAAAGCTCAACGCCATTCTCTTCCATAAGTGAGCGAGGATTTTATCTTGCACGAATCTAAAAATTTGGCGAGAGTCGTAATGTGGCGTGTGTGTTCTCTGGATAGACGTTAGAAATAGACCGTATGACGAGGTGGTCCTCAAGGGCAATAGATTTATTTACCAGTGCCGAAGATTGCAAATTAAAAGGGACGCGAATAGTACGGAATGTGAGAGGGAAATCACAGGTATTTATGATTCATTAAGACACATCGTCCACAGGCGGCGATCGTCTTCGTTGTCAAATTCCGGAACAAAGTTGGCGCGAATGATCGATGTGAAGCCTTCATCGAGGGTTGGCTCCTAAAGATAAAATGGTCGGGGGGTTGCTAGAGAATCTACAACAGGCATCGACATACGAAATGAGAGTCTTTCGCCATATTTTTTAGTAGCGTTCTTAGTAAAAATTAACCATATTGACCTGAAAAAGCCATAAAAAATTAGAAATTTTTTAGGCAAGATTTTGGTCGAAAAAGCAATACTTTTGTATTTTTAATAAAAAATTGTAAAGTTAGCACGTTTAGGAATAATAAAAAATATTTCCTCTTTTTAGATTAGAAAAAAAGTTGGTACCCCCTCGATAATGCGAAAGAACCCAAAATGTATATGTCGTTACCTTTAGCTTGCTGTTGTGCATGCGCAGTACCATCGTCGAGATATCAGGCCCACCATTTCTGAGGAGTCGATAGCGGATGTTGTGTGACTATTTTTTGTAGTGGATCAGAAAATTCCTACCGCCATGTCATAATTTGTATTCATTACAATGCAGCGGCAGGGTACGGAGGCCCCCTTTGCCAAAGCCAGGTAACGCTCCCTAAAATTTGGCCTGGAAAGGAAAAGAAAAAACTACCGAGATTCGACGTCTGGGTTGGTGTTGTCAACGACCACGCTCTGGCCAGCCTAGAAAGGGCACGTGGTCAATTGAACGGCTAAAATACCATCAAGGCAGCCTTGCCCTCCTGCACACATTTCTGCCATGTTCCCAGAGTATCACGGTTGACTACTTTGTAGCTGAAATAGTAATAATAATTTAGTAACTCGCTCCAACGACTCACCCGTGGTCTTCAGCCAACTTCCGCGCCAGTGTGCTTTTTCCGGATCCCGGAAAGCCGACAAGAACGATCACTTCTTTTTCTTGGCTCGCCAAGGAAGAGTCTAAAATTCTTTCTGAATCCGGAGAAACAATCGAACCTTTGGGTTCGAGTAACGGTAGAGCCTTTGCCGTGTATTCAGCCGCTTCAAAGGAAATTGGACCCCACGGCTCTTCCTCCTAAACTTAGGCAAGAGTAAAATAATCATCGCAATAAGCAGGGGCAAACGTTTGCAGCAGATATCGTACCTTCTCACCCAAGAAGTACTGCTCCGGCGTGTAGAATTTCAAGCCCACGTTGCGGGCGAACAGGCGATCCGCCATCGCATGATCTTTCTTCGGGCGGCTCTAAAAAAATCTACCAAAATTCGACCACCAAAATTTACCTTGGTTTTGTGTCTGCCAGCTGCGTCCCCCACAAAATATGATTCCTTCATATCCACCTGGAATTTGATGGTGATCGTAATTTATATTTCGGTATAAACCTCCAAGCCGTCGTTGCAGTGCTCCAGAAAATATTCCCACATTCCAGTGCATGGCTTCCGGAACCGACTTTTCGACTGAGCAAGGAAAACCTGTCGATTGCGTTATGGTGTAAAGCAAAAAAGTGAACCTGAATTGGCACACCCAGTTTCCGCGCGATAGCTTCAATTTTCCCCTTGAAGGCCTCAGGAGTAATATGACCTTTCTAAAATTGCGCATTTTATTTGAATCATGAAATTCTCACCGATATGCCACTCTGGTTGCTGAAGAAGACAATCTTATACTCGCCGCCTTCGTGTAGTGATTTCAGCTTTGGTGCCACCTAAATAGCGGATCATAAAGCGAGCCTACAGGCCTACTTCGTCAAACAATAAACGCCAATCACCGGCGTCTTTTGGGAAAACCTTTCCGGATTTCGGGGTGATGATCGTTCCGTCTAAATAAGAAGCCAGTCATTACTAAACCTCCGAAAACTTACCCATATCAAAGGCGGCAACCTTCGCTCTAGCCTCCAATCCATCCGCGGTAAAAACCATCAAATCTTGGCCTTGCGTCCGCCATTTCCCACCGGGGCCCTTCTCGTGGTTGAACATCTCTGTGGAATGTTTTAGTTGCTATGGAACACAGGTTACCGCCGATTGTCGGCTGTCTCTTCGTCTTGCCCTCCGCTGTTCTTTTCATAATAAAAACAGGAAGAAATAGTCGCTTCACGCTCAAGTAGGCAAAACAGACAGTTTCTAAAAATCCCAATATGCGGTGGAAGACGTGTTTGACCGGGTTCTTTTTCTTATCTGCGATGACTCAGTGACCTCTCCCAAGAAACCGCACGCAAATAAAAGCAATATGTTTGTTACTTCCATTGGTTAATATTTTATTACACACAAAATTTCGAACAAAAAATCAACGATATCTAAACTACGCAAAATCCTATGAAGATCATTTCTTCGACCCGCGAATCTGGGCCCGTTTTCCTTGTCCGATCGGAGGCCGGACCACCTGAAAAAAAGAATATAAACTATAGTTTTATTCTGCCCTACCTTTCCACGCAAGACCTTCAGCTCATCCTGTACCTGCCGCCAAACAACGTGATCATCAAAATAGAGACCATGGAACCTGCGGAAGTCATTTGAAAACCGGGCTATGGATACCTCAGCATTTTTGTCAAATAATGGAACATTGGAAGATTCGGATAGTATTCTGGCTTTAGCTGATCCTTTTGTTCGATGGGTTCCGCTGACATGACCCGGATAACCTAAAAAAATGAAAGTTAGCACTCAGAGTTAGACCATACTTTCATGCTCTTGCTGTCGGTGGTTGTGACAACTTCGCCAAAGATCCGGTTGGACAGCCGGTCCATACGCTTTCCGTATGCCGTCGGCTGAAAGAGTCAAGTTAAAATTCTAGGAAAAGATGCTTGCCTGAGAAATTCCACGATAGGCCTGTTGGATGCGTGACGCCATCAGGCGTGAGCCCATCCTTGTTGACGCGTAGGCCTTGAACAGGCTACAAGAATTATGAGATCGACTGTTGTGAGCGCATAGCGTTCAGTATTTAACGTTAAACGTCAATAGTAGGCAAGCACGTGTTCAGACGAATACTTTATTCACCAGTACAAATTCAGAAGGTTACCAGCATGATACAAAAACCGTGATAGAGAGATCAAAGGCGGCAAAGGGGAATTCATGATGTTACAGCACAAATTATTTCTTATTGAAAAAACTCGAGATGCTCTTGGTGCCCTTGCTGGCGACCTTCAGTTGCTTTTGAGCCGTCGATTCTTTCAAGACTTTCTAAAAAACGCCATCCGCAAGGAGTGAAAACCAAACCTTCGCCGCCGGCTTGAGCGTCTCGTATTCATCATCAAAAGCTTCACTCTTGCGCTTCGCAAAGCTTTGATCTATCCTTTCCTCTACTGGCGCATCGGTGATGTTCAGCTTCGCCTGAAAACAATTAAATTTAGGAGATGGTAAATTAGCCACCTTGAGAGGCAGGACAATCTCATTCGGCAGGTAGTCCTGTAGCAAACCGAATGTGTACCTGTCGAGGACCTCTTCTAAAATACAAATTTTAGGGGATTTGGTCTTAAAGCTTACGATTTTCGATGATGCTTTTATGAAGATCAGCGGCAGCAAGCAGTCCCTTTTGCAAGCAAGAAAAACGCGTGGCTAGCCATCCAAGCGCCTTCTCCTCGTTGTACCGATACAGCACTTCGTCACAAATTTCTGAACAATTTAATTCGGTAAGAGGTGATGCCAACCTTTCTTGTCGGCAATCATCTCCAATCGCTTGTTAAATTGCTCATTCTTCTTCAATACAGCTATTTCTGGAAGTTCTTCGTCTGCCAACACCTCATCCAGCTCTTCAAAGCGTCCCTAACTCGGTCCATTAATTCAGGCGGAACAATGTTACCTTCTTCTTCAGCAAGTAGGGTAGTGCCAAAAATAGCGGGTGGACCGGAACACAAATCCGGAACGCCCCATCGCCAATCACCGAATCGCCATAAAAGAAAGAACGCTTCTCCTCGCCAGAAAGTACTACCTAAACGAAATGATTTTGCCCATTATCACCTATAGGAGCAGCAACATCGATGGAATAAATACCTCGTCACAGACTTCAGGTCCAACTCGGTACAACACGCCTGTATTGAACTTTGGGTGTCGGAGTTTATAGATTTGGCTGCCCGAGATCGTGCCTTCTAAAACAAGCGTAATAAGGAATCACTGATTCCATCAGACCTTTTGCTATCAAAAAACGCCTCTCAAAGCTCGGCTGAGAAGTTGGCGGTCCTTTCGTTTCGATCTAAAACGATGTTTGGTACTCAATTCATTCCATACTTCAATTTCAACATCCTCTACGAAGACGTCATCTTCGTTACCTTTTTTCTTATTCACACGCGTTGACACCATCTAAAGTGGTCTTTACTTTTTTCCATATTGCTCGAAGCAAGATTTTTTCGTTGTTTTTCAAGCGCCTTCGGAGCAAATGTCCTCGTGTTGGATACAACCAAAACTGTCAGCGACGTTCTTCCCAAAAAAATTTATCTACAATTGATGAAGCGTTGACGTTTTGCGAAGGGAAGAGGCAGAAACTAGCATCAGATGGAGGAAAGCAACTAGCATCCGGAAGAAAGCGGTTGTATAATCATAAGGAGCGTCGATAAAAAACAGATTTGGAATCCTTGGAATCACAAGTGCATACGACGAGTAAAATGGCTGTTTAGGTAACTCGGCGGGGTTGGAAGTACTTGGCAGACTATTCACAACAGTGGGTGATGGAGAATAAAAAGGGAGCAGGCATATGATAGCGATCACAAGTGTGTAGATGAAGATGGCAGAGAGCGGGGAGAGCGCAGGACGGAACAATCGGGCAAGCCACTAAAATCGCATTGAAGTAAGTACTTCAAACCCCACCTTTTGCCGCAATAAACGCTCCGAGACCGTTGTCAGTCTTGTATCCGCGTCTCCCCCTACATCTTTCCCCCCATCTGAATGGAATGTTTAGATTTAATACAAGTTTATCCCACCTTCGAGAATTGTTGCATCATGTTCTGAAGCCCGCCCATGCCGCCCATTTGCTGCAGAATGCGAGGGTCCATCATCTTGGCCATTTGTTGGTTCAGCTTCGCCATCTGCGCCGGGTTCACCTTGTTCGGGTTGATGTCGCCGCCCTTGCCCTGAGCAAAGTTTTAAACGACCGGCTTAAATTACCGAAAATAGTCCCTTCATCGATCCCATCTTCTTGACCATGTCGGAGAACTTCTTGTATTGCAAGAGCAGTTCTTTGACCTGAAGGGGGGACATTTTTACGACAGGCTAAAATCACCTCATTTTCGCTGGTGCCGGAACCCTTGGCGACGCGGGTCAGACGGCGGGGTTCTTTGTTGAACAGGTCCGACGCCTTGTCGTGGTCAAGCTCTAAATTAGGTTAAAGGTGTCAGCGAAAAATAAAACTTACCAAAATCCGACATTGAGTCCATGATCGTCATGAGTCGCTTGAGACGACGCGAGCTCTCCTGTTCATTGCCCTTCGTCATGAAATCAGGGCCGAATCCGGGAATCATCGACTGAAAAATGGACTATTCTCGCCGGAACCGAAGCCGTTACCATAATCTGGCTGAACGGGCCCATCTTCATAATGTTCTGGAACTGCTCGTACATGTCACGCAAAGTGAATTGTCCTGAATCCACTCGTTGCGAAGACAATGAATGGAATACCGTGCTTGATGCGCTTGACAAGCTCCTCGTTGTCCTCGATTCCAATGTCTTTGACCATGTCAACAAGGCCCTTCAAGTCGCCCATACCTAAAAAGGCATTAGCTCCCAATGTAAACCCTACCCAGCAGCTTCTGCACAAAAGATTGCGGCTTGAAAACCTCGAAATCGTCGATATGCTCGCCGGTACCAATGAAAACGACCGGAGACTTTGTCACGGCAACCCTAGAAAAATTAATATTGAATTGTACTGGATCTGGAAAAAACTTCAAACATTTTTTAACTTACGCAGAAAGCGCTCCTCCTCCCTTTGCGTGAGAATCCATCTTCGTGATGATGACGGATCCGACGTCGACAGTCTCGGAAAAGGCACGAGCCTGTGCCTCACAAGCCTGACCAATTGAGGCGTCCATGACGAAAACCACGTTATTCGGCGTCTAAACCAGATAACTGGATCAGCGAAATTATGCCTGTCTTACCACAGCGTTCGACACTTGCAACATCTCTTCGAAAAGCGAGGCTTCTTGCTTATGACGACCAGAGGTATCGACAATGATGATTTCAAAGCCCTCCTGAAAAGGGCATGAGGAAAATTATGGCCGTGATACCTTCTTAAAACGCTCCACTCCTTCCGCGGCAATGACGACCGGGTCCATTTCGCTGTAGCTACCATAGAAGGGGATCCTGAAGTTATAAATTAACGCCCGGAATCTTTTGCAACCTGGCTTTCGTGGCGTTTTGCTTCAACTGATCGAAAGCACCGGCACGGAAAGTATCAGCGCAGATCAGACAGGTCTTCCAACCCTTCCGCTGGTAATGGTAGGCCATCTAAAAGGATCGTTTAGAAACGAATTGATATATTACCTTTGTACAAGTCGTTGTCTTTCCAGAACCCTGCAAGCCGACAAACATGATCACATTTGGCTTGCCCTTGATCGGCTGGTATGGAGCCACGCCGGGATCCACCAGTTTCAGCAGCTCCTAAAAATCGGAATACGCTCATTGCCCAAAAAGCCCAGCCAACTGATAGACTTAATACTCACCTGGAAAACGGTCTTCTGGATCAGGCGACGCTTGTTGACGCCACCAACCATATCCTCGAAATTGATCACTTTTCTGAAGAAATTATATCTTTTTTTACGGGTCAGGATTCTCACTTGACATTATCCTTCAACTGCTTCACGAGCCGAATGTGGATGTCGGCCTCGATGAGGGCCCGGCAGACCTCTTGGAGCATAGCATCGAGCTCCTCCTAAACAAAAAAAAACATGAATAATTGACGGGAAATTACCTCATTGATGACGGTGGCCTGGCCGAGCTTGCCGAGGGCATTCCGGATCCGGCGGCCTAGATCGGCTAACACCATCCTGTAAATTTACAATATAATGCATATTTTGTTTCAAATTATATCAAAAAGAGGCGAAACATAGCAAGTTGAAGCCAGTTGGCCGCCAAGTCGACTTGGTTCCGCAGTTTGCAGGCGCATGCGCGAAAGGCACGCGTATTTTGGAGCGCTTCGGAATAACATGTGGTGATTTGCACTTTGGACGCCCCGTGCCCTTCCAAAAATAAAAGTTCAAGCCGTTTCCCCTCTGCATGTTATTCTTCGGTGTTTTTGTGCCACACGGCCCTTTCAACGGCTATCTGAATCGATCGACCCCGTGGCTTCTCAAATGTTCATTTTCCGATAATAGCGGCCATTTGTTCAGACAGCTCTCGGCCGTTAGGAAATGTCGCACGGTCGCATGTTTTTTTTGTAATGCATCAATTCCAATGAATTAAGCGCTAAATAGCTCTTTTTACATAGAAGTCATGGAATTATTATTCAAGATGGATTACTTCATAGTTTTGAAGGTTTTTAGCTTAGTTTATTATTTTAAAAGAAGTTATAATTCGTAACGTGCTACATTTCTCTTGCCTGGATTTCTCGATTAAGTTAATGTTCTTATGAACTTGCCACCATTCTAACAACAATTTTCCAGATGGCCCAACAGATGAAAACACGGTGCCGATCACCATCCAAGGCAAGGACTCCCGGACTGCCGCCATCATCAACCCGATGGCTTTCGACGTCGTGAAAGTTGCTGACCTCTTCGAGAAGGCCCTGATCGAGCAGCACGAGACCGATGTCACGCTCGAGCTTTTCGTTTCGGCTTATGAGGAACTGAACAAGTGCGCTATTTTATTCAACACATCAAATTTTTAGGTTCATCGGGATGCTGGGGAAAATCTTCCAGTTCGTCCAGGCAGACGTTCGTGCGAAGACCACCCGATTGAGGGAATTGTCCGGCAAGGATCCGGTAAAATATGAGTCAGCCGAAGCCATGTTTGCTCACGAGGTAATGATGGTTAAGCCGCGGCAAAACTGAATTTTAGGTGGATCTGAAGAAATACAATGGCGCGAAGAGTTTGCTTGCCCTGCATCGTGCACTTCAGTTCATCGGTATTTTGACATACTCAAAAAATTATGTAATTCCAGTGGACTTCATGGAAGCGCTCGCCTCGTCCACCGATGACGCAAGTGTGGCTGAGATCTGTCGTGTTTCTTACGGACGCACTCTGGCTAAGTGAGTGGTTTATTTTGACTTGTGAATTTCCTTTTCAGGCACCATGGCTGGGCTATTCGTCAAGCTGTGTCCCTCGCCGCCTACACGTTACCGTCACGCCGCCAACTCGTGCTTTGCGTCGTCGAGCAGCCGCCGTCCGATGAGTTTGTCAAGGAGGTTGTTCGCCTTCCCTTCGTTTTAGCTTATCTTTAGGCAATCCTCCGTGTCGTCCGTAGTGGTCAGGCAGTGTTCGACCGTCTCAACGTGTATTATGACAGACACGAGCTGCACAACCTTCTGTGAATGTTTGGCCTTGCCAAGCAGCCGAAAGCTTTACTTTGTGAATGTTGCTAACCCACACTGTGTGATATGCATTTCTTCTCACTTTTCCACTCATAATTGCCTTACTGTTTTTACGTGTCCCCCACAATCTTCTTGCCTTTCATCTGTGCCATGGTGCTCGCATTGGCTTGCCAATTTCTGTGATTACGTTTCAACTTTATAGATTCCAAATAAACTTTATTAAGAAACCCGAATAATAAGTTTAAAGTCCCGGTTGGTCACTCGCAGCATCCACCTAAAATTCGTTGAGTCACGCGGTCCTCTGGCCGTTGTTACCTTGTTTGTCAGGGTCCTGCTTTGTTTTCTGCCAGGTCCGGCATTTGTAGACGACAAAGTAGATCCGCATCTGAATGTCGTTTAATTTGGCGACAATTTGATGGCCGCTCGCCTTGGAGGTGATTTTGACGACGGCCGCGTTGTTGTGCGCGTTCTGGTAGTTCATCGAGGAGAAGACGGTGATTAAAGGTGCCCTTTTCATCCATCTGTAGCCCGCTTGGTACATCTGAAAAAACGGGATTCGATATGGTTTCCGGTTGCGATCCGCACATTTTTGTCGATTTGATGGGCGCGGATAATCAAATCGAGGCCTTCCTGTCTGCAAAATTGTTCAACGACGTCGGCGCCAAACGCAAAGCCGACCCCTGAAAGTGCGCGTTGGCATACATCCTTAGATCAGGCGCCTCTTCTTACATCTTTTCGACATCTTCCAACCCTGCAGTTGTTCCTCCGGATCCGACCACGTAATATCACAGAGCAACCCATACGCCGGGATGGTGGTGGGGCGTTGTATCTGTAGAGGGTGATCGAATTGAGCACCGAAATTGCCTGGTACTTGACTGTTAGCGGGGGGCACTTTAGCAGAGGGCCCTATTGCTAAATATAATAGAATACAGAAAAAATCAGAAAAATAGATTTAGCACAATTTTCGGTTAAAAAATGGTATAAAAATTGCAATTTTTGACTCTTTGGTCAAAAAAATAAAGAATTTTTCTAATTTTTTTAATGTTTGCTCCGTTTAGCCATCAAAAACTATTAACCCTGCTAAAAGTCCCCCCCCCCTGCTAAAAGTCTAGTACCAATTGTCTTACCGCTTCAACGTCTTGCAGTCGATTCATATGGGGGCTCAGGCCACCGTGCATGCAGGCGATCTGAATGTTTGGGCGTAACAAGAAGAAGCAATCTTTTCTAGTTACCTTATTCCCAACCAGCGCGCACACCGGTAGACAATCAAATGTCTGGATGAAGTTGCGCCAAATCTGAAAAAAGGCCGGTGTGGCGAAGGCAACGGTTGCTTGCCTGATATCCCTGATTTCCGGTTGGGAACTTGGTGATGCACTCCTCGTAGAAGCCGTAGTTGAGGGTGGTGTTGGCCTCTTCGTGGTTGCCGCGCAGCATGTGTACACGGGTCGGGTAGCGGTATTGCAGAGCGAGTAGTAGACATACTGTCTCGATTCCCTTAAACAGAACTTTTTTAGGTTCTTTTGCACTATCGGGGGGGGGGTCGGGTCGAGGACCAACTTTTTTTATAAATTTTGATTAAAAAATGCAAAAAAAGATAGATTTTTGGGCCAAAAATGGCCGATTTTCGTCCTAAATGTCGCCTAAAATTTTTTATATCTTTTAAGATTGTTTTTCCACCTAGAATATAGTGAAATTTGACTAAAAACACATTAAAGGAGACAAGCAGAAGAAGCGCAAAAACCCAGGAGTAAAATAGGGCAACCAGACGCGGGCAAGAAGCTCAGGCGTCTAGAAGTGCCTAGGAGGTTATTTTAGAGGTGTTAAAGGTGTAGTAAAGACCAACCTAACACTGACTATCACTTTACTAAAATTAGATAAAGCTTTAAAAATTCGAAATTCTGGTCCAAAATCCATATCTTTGCATTTTCAATAAGCAAAATTTTTACCGTAGTTACGTTTACGCATTATAAAAAAAAGCTAGAAACATCCCTCTATTGATACTACAAAAATTGCACCAGGGACCAGAAAGAGCTTTTCAGGGGGAATTTGCTCTAATGAAGATTCCGTTACGCACCTGTGTGCCACGATCAATATAATCCCCGAGTAGCAGATACGAGTGCCCATCACCCGGCCAACCGTTCGTGTGGAAAATCTGGGATTCTTTGTACTCTTGTCATTCAGTTGCCCCTACCCGGCGTAAATGGATGATGTTGCTGTGGATGTCCCCGACGACGGTCAACGGCAGCTCTTTTCTAGAACGAATTTTATGCCTGCTAATCGTCTCTCAAACTCCGGGATTCTGACGATCATCTTCTGGCGCATCAAGCTCTTCCGACCCAGCGCCAGCAGTTTTCCGATCTAGACTTTCGAACGTCTAGCAAAGGTTGTTGGCTTGCCTCGTCGGCGGTGAAGCTCACGTCCAGATAGCTTAAGGTTCCGTCGGGTTTTCCCTTCTTCTGAAAGAAGTGTGAATTTTGTTCTAGACGCGTCTCCTCACCCCGGGCACTTTCTCGGTGGCCACCTTCGCCAAGAAGATGCGCTCTATCACTTCATTAACGAAGCCATGATCCCAGACTTCGGAGGGAAGAATCTAAGATGGTTTTGTTCAATAATTTTATAGTAATTTTAAGTATAGAAAGTGTATATAAAGTTTAACATTTTAGAAAAAGTTCAGATTACACTTTACTAAGTTTTTTTGGGATACTTTTTCTTGTTTTTTTTGTTCAAAATATATCAAAACGCACAACAACTTTAAACTTTAAATTTTTAAAAGGTCTTGTTGAATTTTTAGTAACCGAAAATCATTATTGAAAAGCCTCTAAAAAATACTCTTGGCACGGGATCCGTCGGCTCGGGCGTCGACACCTCGGCACCCTCATCCTCTTCTTCCTCGTCGTCATCATCGTTCTGCACGGGTTCCGATTATGGCCGAAATGACGGCACCTACATCGCCCTCAGTATAGACATCCTGATCGCGCGCCATCAACTATGTAGAAATTATTGTGCAACAGCCGTAATATTATGGTTTGAAGGTAGAAAATGGGCCGCAGATCTTCGGGTTTCGCTAGATACCTTGGAGCCGGATGTGTGTGGCTTATGCAAAGTAAATCGGCATGCGGTAGCGCCGGGGTTTGTGTTTCTTTCGGACGTTTAGAAGGACTTATGGATCTACCGTGTGGATCTACCGCTTACGCGCATATCCCAAACATCACTTACCTCAACTATATCCTCGCCGGGAAAGGGCAGAACGCCGCCCTTCTAGCCGCTTACGACTGGAAAAGGTATAGCCTTTCGAATTAAATATTTTTAGATCACAAAAACTTAACTTTAGACTACAAATTACAAGAAGTCGACACCGGAAACGTTTTGCCCGCGTATTTTGGCCCCTAAATCAAGTGTTTATAGTTCAAAATGGCGACAATTGTATTCATTGCACAAAACTAGCACAGAAAATTCGTTTATAGGCCGAAAAGGTACCGCGGCTCGGGCAAGGTTGTTTTTAATGCCCTCGGGACCATCCAAATCCAATGGCTCCGAAGTCCCACCCTAACTTTTCGTCGACAAAAAAAAACTGCGCGCGCGTTTACAATCGGCAAAGGCGGGAGAAGATAGAAAAGAAATTAGAAAAAGTCTTTTTAGATCTAGTTCTAGAAGGAAAAAGAATTTTTTGCTAGGATTAGATTAGATTTGCATGACACGTTACGGATTCGCATTGTTCGCGCGCCGGAAATCCGAAATCAGCATAGGTTTCCCGCAATAAAAAGGCGCCCTGGTTGGTGATAATTAACTAATCAACAAATTATTTACGCCCAACTGACTACAATTCGTCTACGAATGACTTTGGTGAGTTGCCCTCCTCATTTTCAACAATTTGCTTGCAGAATTTTTCATCACAAACGTTCGATCTGGAGCATGCGCGGAAGTCGTGGGAGGCAGAGATGGCCAACGCCGCCGCCGCGGAGAGGTGCTGGCACGAAAAGGTACCACATTCTGGGCTGCTCCAGGGTGCGATTTCTAGCCGGACACCTCAAAAGTATTTAGCTTCTTTTAGCGTATTTTACCAGCCGCTTAGAGCCGCTTCGCCGCATGCGTACGCACGCACGCATGCATGCGGCTGGACTTCGGGCTACCCCCATTCGCTTCCTCCCCCTCGCCGAAACGCGCGCCACCTGGCTCACTATGTCCAAAATCACCCCAACCTCCTCCCCACCCCTTTTACTAGGGAAAAACTTTCAAATTGATTTTAATAATTTAATCGAAGACTTTTTCATAATTTTTTCATCAGTTTGGGGGTTTCTGACCACGCTCTATCCGAATCCGAAAAGCCCTAAGCTCTAGCTCCTTTCCCCTTCGAGTTGAATTCGGCTTCAGACAGACGGACACCACTACTTTTTTATTATAGTTGATAGTTTGTAGTTTTGACGTTTGGCCGGTGCCGATTCCGGCACATTAGCGCTATTAGGAGGAACCGGGACCATGACGTTTCGATCAGCGATATTTCCGCCAGTTTGGGGAGAAAAATCGTATAAAACCTTCCAAATCAAAGATTTTTGTTTTTCGGTATTAATAAATTCGAATAAAATAAGTAGAGTTCAGTAGAGAAGAAATCATGACACGGGGGTGCTGTTAGCTGCGTATCGCGCTGTTTCCCTTTTTCGGCGCCAAATCTGCTTTTCAAGAAACAAAAGACTTGTTTACAAAGAGATTATTTGCAGATGGCGGAACTCGACTGGTGTGAGGAGCGGCTCCGACGGCTGGCGTTGGCCGAAGAGGCGGCCGGAATTGAGTGCTGGAAAAACGCGTTCGTGACGGCGTATCTGGCGGGACGACGACTCGATGAAGCACCGTCCTCCTCGTTCAGTGTAGGTTTGCATGAATCTAGCGTTTTTATAGTGTTAGTATTTTTTTTGATTACTAGTATTTCAAGCTAATTTCGAGAAATTTGCAAAATTGAGTTTTGGCACATCGTTTTGCATTTTCAGCAAAAATTAATTTTTTAATACCACAACAATTATTATGAACGTTCAGTACTGTAAAACGGCACAACTTCCAGCAACAATTGAACTTTTTAGTGCGGCAGCTACCCGGAGCAGCAGTCGATGGCCGGTTTGCAGCGAGATCGTCTCGAGTTCCTCTTCAAGCTGGACATCGTTGACATTGAGAAGGTAATCATTCAATGCTTGCACATCACGAAGCTTTTATAGCACGCCCGGGAGCTCTACGAATCTTCCACCCCGGCGGCAAAGCTGGTGCTCGAGGAGTGCCTGGCGCGCAGGCAGCTGATGCTGCAGAAATACGAGAATGAGGTGCGTGCGCTTAGGCTTAGGATCCAACTGTCTAATCTACTCAAATCGAGCAAGTGTTCTTACTTTTTTGTTGCTATTCCAAAAAAAACATTGCAATGAATTTGCTAGAAAGTAGAAGAACTCGTCGCCGCTTACCGATCAACGTTTCATATTTTAACAAATTCTAAATTCTAAATCCGGAAAGTTTGCTAAACACTTTTGCAACTCTCAAATTTCAAATAGACCTAAAATTCTCTTGCTATGACGCTACAATACGTATCCAAAATTTAGGAAAAAACCCCGAAATACTAGGCAAGCGCTAAAAAATGCAATTAAAACGATTAAAAGCCCGAAATGTCGATTATTTTTTCCACCAGAATTTCGATACCAATTTTTTGCAGATCGGCCGTATGCGGAAGATGGGCCGCGCCGCGACGCTGGCCGTGAAAAGCTTCCGCGAGCTGTGCAAAGATGAGGCCGGGTTCACGCCGACGCGCGGCACTGTCCTGCTGGGCAGCTTGGTACGTAGGATTGTAGATTTGTAGCTTTTACCCTTTAATAGCAAGAATATAAACTCAGCAAGAAGACCGTAAATTCCCAGCCTCTTTCAGGCCGAGGAGTCCCCACCCCGAGCGAACGACTCTGACGAGTCGCGGATGCTGATCCCGCCGGACTCCAACACAAGCATCTCTACCTGGGCCACGTCCAGTACGACGTCGAGCCACAGTTTGTCGTTCAGCGAGGCTTCGGTAGGTATAAATGATACAGGAAAAAAACTCGGACATCTCACCCCAAAAAGAATTAAAAAACTAAAATTTCGATGAAACAGTACAATTAGATGCCTTATTCCAAAAAAGTCGTCTTTCTTTTCGTTTCGTTTTTTTTATTGAACAAATCACCTTACAGGAGTCCGAAGACGTGTCGCGAAACGAGAGTGAAGTGATGGTGACTCCGGGCGACTGCTACGAGACGAGCACCAAGGAAGCCCCCGCCCAGCCGCCTGCTCCCCAGACTACACACGACGATTCCACGGGCGCCCTGATGATCAAGGCGGTAACGAAGAATGTCGCCGCGGGGCTCGTCGATGCCTTCCACTGATTGTATTTTTGTGCTAGATTTCGAGGATTTGGAATAAATTTTTTCGCTTTTTTGCATATCAACAGTTTGAAATACACGAAACGCAATATGAAAAGAGTTGCCAGACGGCTGCCGAAATATCGTTAATTTCGAGGTTGTGCCAAACACTGAAAAAGAAGCGCAGGCTAAGGGGAAGTGTTTCTAAACCGTTTTTTAGAAGTCTTCATGTCACTTTAAAAAGTTTTTTAGGACCAAATGCAAAAATATTGATTTTCGACCAAAATTTTTGCCTGAAAAGTTTCGCTAAATGGTTTTATTGCCTTTCCGGACAAAACACCATTAAATTTTACTAAAAGCGCTCATAAAATAAGCTCAAGTAATAATTACCCGCTTTCAGGAGCCGCAGACGCCGGCCGCGCGAACCCGGGGCGGGAAGCAGCCGTTGCCGGTAATGGCTGTTCCGTCCCTGAGCACACCGGGTGATTCAGGAAGGTACGTGCGTACGATGTCCGCCGGAATGCGGCGTCCAGAAGGTGACCACCCACTACGCGTACCCGCTTTGCCCACCTTGCGCAAAAGCGTACACGTAGGTTTTTCGTGGCCCCTTTTCTAAACGGAACTGGCAATTGTCTCGAAAAAATCAACAAGGTGAAACTCTCTTTCAGGCAAGCCTCTCGGGCCTATCTCAGCAAGCTAGACAACCACACTCCCCATCATCCGCGCAGTGAGTACGCCGCTTTCAGAAGAGTATACAGCTTTTAGTTGTATGCGCCGTCTGCTCGTTCGAGAAAATATGGGTGCCCCTCGGATTCGCCGCCTACTCGGCGCAGAATAACAATTGATCTCCCCATTAGCATTCTATTACGTCGTTTGTGATTTATTCCATCAGTTGCTGCTATATGTACTTGTCGCCAAATAAATCGTTTTTCGCGTCCTTTTAAAATACCAGGGTCGAAAATACGCTTCGCGGCCGTCGCGGCGCTGATTGGGAATATGCGCGGGCGACGCAGATTGGGAATGTGCGCCGGCGACGCAGATTGGGAATGTGCGCTTACGCGCTGATTGGGAATGTGCGCCGGCGACGCAGATTGGGAATGTGCGCGGGCGACGCAGATTGGGAATGTGCGCGGGCGACGCAGATTGGGAATGTGCGCCGGCGACGCAGATTGGGAATGTGCGCTTACGCGCAGACTGGGAATGTGCGCTTACGCGCTGATTGGGAATGTGCGCCGGCGACGCAGATTGGGAATGTGCGCCGGCGACGCAGATTGGGAATGTGCGCCGGCGACGCAGATTGGGAATGTGCGCGGGCGACGCAGATTGGGAATGTGCGCGGGCGACGCAGATTGGGAATGTGCGCCGGCGACGCAGATTGGGAATGTGCGCTGGCGCGCAGATTGGGAATGTGCGCTTACGCGCTGATTGGGAATGTGCGCCGGCGACGCAGATTGGGAATGTGCGCTTACGCGCTGATTGTGAATGTGCGCCGGCGACGCAGATTGGGAATGTGCGCGGGCGACGCAGATTGGGAATGTGCGCCGGCGACGCAAATTGGGAATGCGCTTACGCGCAGATTGGGAATGTGCGCTTACGCGCTGATTGGGAATGTGCGCGGGCGACGCAGATTGGGAATGTGCGCCGGCGACGCAGATTGGGAATGTGCGCCGGCGACGCAGATTGGGAATGTGCGCGGGCGACGCAGATTGGGAATGTGCGCCGGCGACGCAGATTGGGAATGTGCGCGGGCGACGCAGATTGGGAATGTGCGCCGGCGACGCAGATTGGGAATGTGCGCGGGCGACGCAGATTGGGAATGTGCGCCGGCGACGCAGATTGGGAATGTGCGCTTACGCGCAGATTGGGAATGTGCGCTTACGCGCTGATTGGGAATGTGCGCGGGCGACGCAGATTGGGAATGTGCGCCGGCGACGCAGATTGGGAATGTGCGCGGGCGACGCAGATTGGGAATGTGCGCGGGCGACGCAGATTGGGAATGTGCGCCGGCGACGCAGATTGGGAATGTGCGTGGGCGACGCAGATTGGGAATGTGCGCCGGCGACGCAGATTGGGAATGTGCGCTTACGCGCAGATTGGGAATGTGCGCTTACGCGCTGATTGGGAATGTGCGCGGGCGACGCAGATTGGGAATGTGCGCCGGCGACGCAGATTGGGAATGTGCGCGGGCGACGCAGATTGGGAATGTGCGCCGGCGACGCAGATTGGGAATGTGCGCGGGCGACGCAGATTGGGAATGTGCGCGGGCGACGCAGATTGGGGAATGTGCGCCGGCGACGCAGATTGGGAATGTGCGCGGGCGACGAAGATTGGGAATGTGCGCCGGCGACGCAGATTGGGAATGTGCGCGGGCGACGCAGATTGGGAATGTGCGCCGGCGACGCAGATTGGGAATGTGCGCTTGCGCGCAGATTGGGAATGTGCGCGGGCGACGCAGATTGGGAATGTGCGCGGGCGACGCAGATTGGGAATGTGCGCCGGCGACGCAGATTGGGAATGTGCGCTTACGACGCAGATTGGGAATGTGCGCTTACGACGCTGATTGGGAATGTGCGCGGGCGACGCAGATTGGGAATGTGCGCCGGCGACGCAGATTGGGAATGTGCGCGGGCGACGCAGATTGGGAATGTGCGCCGGCGACGCAGATTGGGAATGTGCGCTTACGCGCAGATTGGGAATGTGCGCTTACGCGCTGATTGGGAATGTGCGCGGGCGACGCAGATTGGGAATGTGCGCGGGCGACGCAGATTGGGAATGTGGGCGGGCGACGCAGATTGGGAATGTGCGCCGGCGACGCAGATTGGGAATGTGCGCGCGACGCTGATTGGGAATGTGCGCGGGCGACGCAGATTGGGAATGTGCGCCGGCGACGCAGATTGGGAATGTGCGCCGGCGACGCAGATTGGGAATGTGCGCTTACGCGCTGATTGGGAATGTGCGCCGGCGACGCAGATTGGGAATGTGCGCCGGCGACGCAGATTGGGAATGTGCGCGGGCGACGCAGATTGGGAATGTGCGCGGGCGACGCAGATTGGGAATGTGCGCCGGCGACGCAGATTGGGAATGTGCGCTGACGCGCTGATTGGGAATGTGCGCGGGCGACGCAGATTGGGAATGTGCGCCGGCGACGCAGATTGGGAATGTGCGCGGGCGACGCAGATTGGGAATGTGCGCCGGCGACGCAGATTGGGAATGTGCGCCGGCGACGCAGATTGGGAATGTGCGCTTACGCGCTGATTGGGAATGTGCGCGGGCGACGCAGATTGGGAATGTGCGCCGGCGACGAAGATTGGCAATGTGCGCGGGCGACGCAGATTGGGAATGTGCGCCGGCGACGCAGATCGGCAATGTGCGCCGGCGACGCAGATCGGCAATGTGCGCGGGCGACGCAGATTGGGAATGTGCGCCGGCGACGCAGATTGGGAATGTGCGCCGGCGACGCAGATTGGGAATGTGCGCGTGCGCGCTGATTGGGAATGTGCGCGGGCGACGCAGATTGGGGATGTGCGCCGGCGACGCAGATTGGGAATGTGCGCCGGCGACGCAGATTGGGAATGTGCGCTTACGCGCTGATTGGGAATGTGCGCCGGCGACGCAGATTGGGAATGTGCGCTTACGCGCTGATTGGGAATGTGCGCGGGCGACGCAGATTGGGAATGTGCGCCGGCGACGCAGATTGGGAATGTGCGCCGGCGACGCAGATTGGGAATGTGCGCCGGCGACGCAGATTGGGAATGTGCGCTTACGCGCAGATTGGGAATGTGCGCGGGCGACGCAGATTGGGAATGTGCGCCGGCGACGCAGATTGGGAATGTGCGCGGGCGACGCAGATTGGGAATGTGCGCCGGCGACGCAGATTGGGAATGTGCGCTTACGCGCAGATTGGGAATGTGCGCACGCGCTGATTGGGAATGTGCGCACGCGCAGATTGGGAATGTGCGCGGGCGACGCAGATTGGGAATGTGCGCCGGCGACGCAGATTGGGAATGTGCGCCGGCGACGCAGATAGGGAATGTGCGCCGGCGACGCAGATTGGGAATGTGCGCGGGCGACGCAGATTGGGAATGTGCGCGGGCGACGCAGATTGGGAATGTGCGCGGGCGACGCAGATCGGCAATGTGCGCCGGCGACGCAGATCGGCAATGTGCGCGGGCGACGCAGATTGGGAATGTGCGCGGGCGACGCAGATTGGGAATGTGCGCGGGCGACGCAGATCGGCAATGTGCGCCGGCGACGCAGATTGGGAATGTGCGCTTACGCGCTGATTGGGAATGTGCGCGGGCGACGCAGATTGGGGATGTGCGCCGGCGACGCAGATTGGGAATGTGCGCCGGCGACGCAGATTGGGAATGTGCGCTTACGCGCTGATTGGGAATGTGCGCTTACGCGCTGATTGGGGATGTGCGCCGGCGACGCAGATTGGGAATGTGCGCGGGCGACGCAGATTGGGAATGTGCGCCGGCGACGCAGATTGGGAATGTGCGCCGGCGACGCAGATTGGCAATGTGCGCGGGCGACGCAGATGGGGAATGTGCGCGGGCGACGCAGATTGGGAATGTGCGCCGGCGACGCAGATCGGGAATGTGCGCCGGCGACGCAGATCGGCAATGTGCGCGGGCGACGCAGATTGGGAATGTGCGCCGGCGACGCAGATCGGCAATGTGCGCCGGCGACGCAGATCGGCAATGTGCGCGGGCGACGCAGATTGGGAATGTGCGCGTGCGCGCCGACCAATCCGCGCGCACGCGTACGCGCGGATTGGTCGGCAATGTGTCTTACTAATTCACCCGGATTGATTTTCGCTCGTAGAACGTTTAAATAAGCGTTTATTTTGTTAAATTTGGCAGAGGAGGGAGTTTTTAGGGGTCAAGAAGCCTTACCGCGTCTTGTTCACTGTTATCTTCTTTTAATCGATTTTCTTGGATCATTGGAAGGCATTTCCGACGTTAACGTTGTTGATATTTACTAAACACAATATAAAACCTGTGATTTTGATTTGTCTATATGGATTGGGCACGATATCCCCCCGGCCGTGTTTTTTTAGCGTTTATACACCCGCAACAAGTGCCCAAATCAGGCCGGGTTCAAGGAAACAACACTTTTGATACAGCCTAGCTCCCCCCTGGGGGAAACATGTTTTGGGCCCGAAACGACGGTAATTGGGTGGTGGCCCGGGGCAGAAGTGGCCGTATCCCAAGTAACCACAGCTTGCCCACCCGAGACCGCCACGAGACTTACAAATTAGTGCTCAGCATCTTGTCATCGTCGATTTCAGGTAGTATTCGTTGCGCCGATCCACCGTCATAATGCTAAATTTTGAGACGACCGAGTTTTTATTATACCGAAAGGCCATAATGCCGACAATCCATAAAACCGAATTTTCGGCATCCCGTTATGTCATAATGCGGAGGGTCATAATGCCGAAATGTCATAAGTTACATTTTTCACCACGGCAGATTTTTGTTATATCAAATTTTCATCATGTCACATTCAGTAAGGTAGAACGCCGAAAGTTGATAACGCCGAATTTTTATGACACTGAAAATACCAAAAAATACGGCATACTCAGTAATCGGTATTATGAGAATTCGGTATTATGAAAATTCGGCTTTATGAAGGTTTGGCATTATTTTGGCCTTCTAAAAATTCGGTGTTTTGAAGTTCGGCATTATGCCGTTTTGCCATTAAATTCAGCATTTAGAAATTCAGCATTATCGAATTCACTATCACAAAAAGTGTGGAATTTAGGTATTACAAAAATGCGGCAGTACGACGTTTCGGCATTATAAAAAGCCGATATTTTTGAAAGTAGGCATTATCGAAATTCGGCATTCCCTCAACATCCCTTTGCGTCTACCCGCTTCTCGGTTGTTTTACAGCGACGCTCAACGTAGTCCTACACTTCTCGAAGCCACGCACCCTTTCTCATGCTGTAGTACTCAATGATTACTTTTCTTATTTGGGAATCACATGTCCCGTTCCCACAGCCATAAACGGATCGTGGAAAATGGATTCCAAAAACCCGGCCGATGACTAGTGGAGTGATTTCATTTGGGCCCCGCGGCTGGGCCTCGCTATTTTTTGCCGAAATTATTTTTGCGGCTATTGGATGGAGGTTCACCTGGCACAGCTGACTTCGCGGTTTTGCGCTTGAATATATTATCTGGATGCCCGGTAAATCAATATTTTTCAGATTATCTTAGGTTATGTCCGCCTGCAAGCTTTGGCTTAGGCTCGGCTTAGGTTTGGCCGAGGATTGGCTTAGGATTGGCTTAGGCTTGGCTTAGGCTTAGCTTAGGCTTAGCTTAGGCTTAGCTTAGGCTTAGCTTAGGCTTAGCTTAGGCTTAGCTTAGGCTTAGCTTAGGCTTAGCTTAGGCTTCACTTAGTTTCGGCTTTTCGATCTGCTCCTACTCACGTTAATCTGCCCCCCAAAAGGTTTATCCTGTTCCCTTTTCTGAATCACCTCCCGGATTTTAATTATGGCTTCCGAGGGGCGCCCACACTTGCTCTCAGCTTTTATTACCTTTACAAATTGATCCAAACCTCTATATTCTAACCATTAGAAGTACGTACTTACAGCCTGACCGCTAAGTATTTACTTCAAAAGTGCGACTCCAACAACAAAACAATTTGCGACTGTTTGCGCGGGGTCTAGAGCCCTCCCCGGCCGCGCTTAATTTCCAGCTTATGGCCGACAAGCCATTTATGGCGGGCTTTTCGCTCCCATTTCGGGCGTCTGCTTGCGTCGCAGAAGTTTTCTATTTTGTGCCCCGGTTTTCTAGAGCGGGGCCTACGGTAGCCGGAAGGTCCCGGAGGGGGGCGTCTTATAGCCGGCTAATTTCCGATGGGCGCCGCCTGACTATGGTTTGCACCCGGAAATTGGGGCTGTTCGGGGAGGTTTCTCAGGTTCTATTGTTTGATTGGCGCGGATTTCACTGTCCGTAGGCCGCATTTTTTGATATAACGTAGGACATCTTTCTGCCCTATCCTAATAAATTGCTCGATTAGAAACCAGATCAATTTGTATAAACCCCGGGCCGCAAATTTTTCTGTTTTCCGCTCCCTTCCAAACGACCCTGTTCTGCACGGAATTCTTGAAAAAGTGATTCTACCGCTCGCGTTCGCTTCTAACCACGAGATTTCTTCAGCTTTACCGGCCCATCGACCGGCAATTACCTAATTTGCGGATGGAATGACCGGCGACCGGTCGGCCGCCCGGTCTCCCCAGGCAACGATCCATTTTTTGGGGGCGACCAATCGCGTCGGGACCCCTTGGGGACCCGGGCCACCGTATCCCAATCAAGCAACTGGGACCCCGATTGCCGAAAGTCTAGCTCTGCCATTGATTTGGTGTATAGTTTCGGTATAACGCTACGATTCTTGACGCGTAGACGGCTGAAAACCCGGCGTTTTTTGACCCTTTTTACGGGGCCAACGAGCAGAGAACATTGGGGAACTAGGAACCGAACCGCAAAATCGTTCGCTACGAAAACCCGCCACTCCTGCTGTGTTTAGCTAATTCGCGATTGTCGTCAGCGCTTTTCCTGTCCCCCAAAAAGTGGCCCCTACGTCGCCAACCAAATTACAGTGTACCTAAAATAGCACCCAAAATGTCTCGAAAAATGTTATCGCGTCTGAGCTTACTCTCTGATTTTTCAAAAAAAAATTGTCTGAAGATGCCACATAATGTTATTTTTCGGGGCTATTGTAATAGGGGGCGAATTCTTTATAATTATAAGTCCAAAAATTCCTAGTGACGTAATAATGCGTATTTTATCGTGTTTTTAGGAAAATCTAGCCCTATTGCAAGTGTAAAAACTAACCAGAAAACCTTAGAAAGTTTGAAAAGTTCAAATTTTCAAAGTTTGTTCGAAAATCGTCCCTTTTTGTCGAAAAATCAACTATGTAAAACTATGTAAAATTACTCCATTTATGTTATGAAAATCGATACTAAACAAAAAGTTTTTCCCCTGATAACCCCCGGTAATGCCAAAGAACGTTTTTTGAATAATAGGCTACCAAAGCTACATTTCTTTCTTTCTTTTTATTCTCTTATTTATTCTGGTCTATCTTTTATTTTATTCTGTATTCTAGAATTCTAGACAATGGACTACGTGGCCGCTGTGCACTGGGTCGAGCCGGACGAGCAGAACTTTTCCTTTGGCCGTCCCAGGGTGCCGAGCCCGGCCGGAACATACCGTACCGAACTCGTTGCAGGCAAGCCAGTTCACAAATTTTTGTAAATACAGTTTTCAGGGTCATTCGGGCTGAAAATCGGGCTGTTCCTGGAATTGTTCCTGACTGTGTTATTCTGGAAGGCGTTCGTGAAGATTTGGCACGACCAGGTTGGGATTTGGTACAGTTTGCACGAAGCCTAGTGTATCTCGGCTCCCCCCATGTGCCACAGGGGTGTAAAGTATACCAAAATCTCGCTCTGGCGAGTCTTTTGGCATACGTTACAGTCCTGTAGGGTAAAGGGTAGCCGCGATACAAGGGTTTTTTGCTTCAGATAGCCGCGTTTTTGCGCTCTGTGGCGGTGCCCCTTACCGTCGCTTCAATAGTGCGCTTCGTCGACTCGGTCATATTTTGTTTTACGTCAAACACGTGAGTGTCAATTGTATAAAGCGGAAATTACGCAAAGAATAGGTTCTGGATAGTTAGGGGGTGATATTTTCCCGCAGAAACCGAATAATGCAACACAAGCTTATACAATTTTTTTTACACCATTTTTAGATCTGAAAAGTTCATAAAACTATTTTTTGGTTTATAAATCAATGAAAAATGGCCATGAATAGCAGAACCTTTCCATTAATTTTTTCTATAACTTTTCAGTCATAGGACATGGGCAAAAAAACTATAAAAACAGAATAGGTTTTATCAAAATAGCGGTTAGGCTGAAGTTAGTGCCCCCCGCTAACGATCCAGTACCCCAAAAATCCTAGGTTCGCCATCCTGTCGTGGATTGACGAGTGGGCGGTGCTGGCAGCGGTGCTCTGTTTTTCCTCCGGGTCCATCACCTATTCCACGTTCATCTACCGCTCCGTCGAAAGCAACTCGCACGAGAGCGGAGGGTAACAAAAACCTTGAGAAACACATCTAGTCAATTTCAGGGCATCTTTCCTCTTTCTCCTCGGGTTTTGTATGCTGTTATCGCTGTCGATAGTGCTACCCGTTGTCCCGCCGTCGATTACCATGTTCTCGTCCATCGTCATCAACACGGCCATCTCGTATGCCGTGCTCATCCTGCCGATTTTTGCCTATGTGAGCACGACCTCCTCTTATTGATCCTCTTGTTGTCGCAATTCTCGCTTTCTGTTCGGCCTTAAACGGGTATTTAGATTCTGGTTGTATCGATTGTGCCCCGAAACCGTACGGACACAAGTCCAGATGGGCTTGCCCGACGTGCCGCACTAAATCGGAGCCGGCTTCAGATGTTGTTCATCGTCATCGCTTCCGCCCTGCTCTACCAGTCATGGGGTAAGCCATCGAATAAAGTCGACAAAAAAACACATTTAATTTCTGTTTAATTTAATGAAAAATCCGTTTTGACGGTACGTTCAGCTACCGATATCTTGGAACGCTCCCAAAACATCACAAAACTTTCCTTCCAAACCGATAAAATACGGCTCCCAATCCCTCAAAATCCCCCCGCTTCAGTGGAATCAACATGCCGCCTCCTGCTGTTCTTCTCCGCCTCGCTGCAGCCCTGGATGATGTCGCGCAAGTTCGAGCTGTACCCGTGGCTTTTCATGAAAGAGGGCACCTACAACACGGCCTACTGCCAAACGGCCATCATCGTAAGTGGAACCCCCGCAAAAAACCTGGTCTTCAGAATCAGCTCTGCTTCCCCCTGGTCTTCTACCTGGCCGTGTTCGGGCTGATGCGGCAGTGGCGTGAAGCGCTGACGGGGAGGACGATGGCACAAGGGGCGCTCGATGTCTTTAAAATTGAGGTTCGGCCATATTGGCGTATCAAAAATCTTGTTCAGCCACAACCGCTCGCTGCCGCCGTCGCGGTAATTGAGACGCAACGGCCAATTCCACCCCAACAACCCGTCGTTATCGACCCGCCACCCCCGTATCAACAGGCCATCCAGCTCGAGAATCCGGCGCCGGTGGGTTTATTGTCGAAGCCGGGCTGAACTTGCCACAATCAGTGGATCTTCTATTTTATCGGGGGGTAGCAGGGATAAACTAATTTTTTTCGCAGTAATCATGTAAGCTTCTAACAAAATATAAACCATTTTTAGAGCATTTTACACAGTTTTCAAATATAAAAAGCTCATAAAAAATTTCGAAAACGTTTGACTTTTTAGTCAAAATTGTATGAAAAACGAAAAAAGGTTTGCATCTTTAAAATATTTTTTTTGTAACGTTCTAGCAAACAAAAACTACGAAAACCTTCTAAAAATACACTTTGTTAACAAGTAGGCGGAAAACAAAATATAGTTTCCCCCTGCTAACAGTCCAGTACCGTAGTACCATATTTTCCGCGGGATGTTGTAGCGAACTTTTCCTATGATCCCATGGGGTCGGCTAATGAGACCAAATTTTTTTGACAGCACTGTAGGCGGTTTTCCGCCTTCAAAAATGTCGGGGTTTTGGCCGAAAAGCTGGAACGGCAAAAAAATGAGGAAAAACTAAAACGTTTATAAGGCCTTAAAAGACTTTATAGGGATACCCAACCTTTTCGGGGCTCAAAAAGCAAAGACCATGACGCGGGCGGGGGTCGAACCCGGGACCCCCGCGGTCAAGACCTGGATGATATCCATTAGGCCATAGTGGCAAGCCACTGATCGAGATGAGGATGCCACAAGAGGGAAAGGAGCCCGAATTCTGTGCGGCACTGGGCATCCATTACCGCACAAAATTCGCACGCCATTTGTACTCCCCGGAATACATAACTATATATTTGCCGCCAAAACATTGGGTATCCCTTTAAAGTTAAAAATTTTTGAGTTATAGGAAAAAGACTACTAAAATGCACTGAATTTATTACGACATTTTAGGGCTAAGAAATCACACTTGAAAACCTGTGGTCTGGCTAGAAACCTAATGATTTTTCAGAACAACATTGCCCCACCGGCGCCCTCCTACAATCAACCGGCACCGGGGTACACGCCGCGGCCCGAGCCCCTCCAGTGCCACGACCCGCAGTGGCTACACCATAATGGCCTTCCGCCGGATTACTATTCAAATCCAAGCCAACCCGCACAACTGGCCACTCGTGCCGACGTTCAGGTACAAGAGTGACTCTATAGACAAAAACTTGAGCGTGTGATTTCGGGAGCATAACCCACGGAAGGTGAAATCAAGCAAAAAAAAACCCATTGTTTTATAGCGCACCGGGCTATTTGGCCAATTAGGCGACCAATACCCGATGATCATCGACGAAGAGATGATTCCCGGCGCTGCCCCGGTTGCCATGTTTCCGCCACGGCCAACCATGCACTCACTGAATACAGCATCCCCCTCAACCTCCCAAATGCTCGAGATGGTAACAAAGCCTCCTAAATCTAACTGTTTTCCATCTAGGCGCCAACCAGCTCCACCATCGCTACACTGGCCAGCCGCCAACCCCAAAAGCCGCTATACCCACGGCAATCCGAGTCGACGTCCATCAGCGTCCGCGTCATGAGCGCCCCGGCGATGCGCAGCACCAAGGCCGCTCTCGCCCCGCCCATGCCCGAGATCAAAGAATGAAAAAATGGCAAATGAATGTTTTATCTGATGTACTTTCCCGGCTTGATTCACCAGATGATTTGAAGGTGCCAACAATAAAAGCAGCAACAATTCAGAAAAAATCGTCAATTTCCTACACTAAAAATAATTGAAAAACACGGTAAGAAAGCACAATCATAAATGTGGACGGGTTTTCTTTGCAAGTATCTGACAACAAAATGTACGGGGCTGTTTAACAGTATATTTTCCAAACTAAAACAAATCCTGGTAATAATAATGCCACGGTTATGACTGAAAGAGGTCGTCCTAGCGATACCAACGGCTTACAAAACCGCATCTGATGATTATAAGAAGTTCCTTTTTCGTTGCTTGAAAAAACAAATGCGGTTCCTGTTGGCTACTTTGTAGAAATGGTATCTCGGAGGGTAAACTAAATTTCGTATCATTCGAACCGCAAAATTCTACTCTAGTACAACCCTTGAGTTTTCGATAGTTTTACTTCATATTTTCTTTTTAATCTTTCTTGTACTTTTACTTTTTCCTGGTGCTACACCGGGCTACTATGCACATTTTCCTTCCGTGACCAGCATCGTAGCTGATCGCCATTTTTCGCTGTTTTATTTTCTTTCCATTTTTCGACATCTTTTTCCTTTTTGGATGCACTTTCCACCTTTTTTCTATACATTTCTCGTTTTTTTTTAGCATGACTGACGACGAAGACGAATGCCGACAGCACTCGGCGCAGGACGAGCCGTGGTCCCACTACAAGTGCGTCGACACCTTCCCCGAGGAGATGGAATGGCTGAAGACTCAACTAAAGAAAACAGTCCCGGATGAGGTTGACATCTGCTTCCTTTTTAATCACTGCCTTCAGGTCCAAGACATCCTTCCCTCGTTGGCGCTTGACTTCTCGCATCTGAAACTGCACACCATTCCCGACGAGTCCCACAAGAGAGCGGAGAACACGGAAATGGTTGGAGTTTTATATCCCTGCTGATTTGCGTTTTTTAGAGCGGCACTTACGGTGAAAAGTTGGTCGGCTTTTCGGCTGGCTACCCGGATCCGGAGGAGTCGAAAAGCGCAGAAGCTGCCGGGCAATTGGTCGAAAAATTTGCGAGGTATTCTGCTTTTTTAATGGCACCTTCTAATTTAGCCAATTCTTCTCACTTCCTCAACACGACGCGGTGCGGCGCAAAGTATTCCTTGGCATCCAGGTATCATAATTTAGTACTGTTCAAATTTCTTTAGAAATCTGCTGCCGAGTTGACTGACAGTTCGAGCGGAGCCCGAGAACCGGACGAACATTTCGAGTTGGCCGTTAGAGCACACGAATATAGGGTCCGTGGTTGTCGCTTCACAATTTCTTGCTTTAGATTCTGGTGGGTCGCGGCGGCGAGGCAACGTATCTGGCAGCCAATGCGGTGGGCACCTCGCTGATTCTGGACAATCGGTCTTTACCGAAGGTGGAGGAGTGTGTGAAAAGAACCGTTCTACATGCCGAAATTCAACGCCGCTATCAAATCAAGGTATGCACTTCTTTTCCATCAACCATTGAATTCTAGTTCGGTCCCAACAGCGGTCCCCCCTACACAATGGCTCATTTTGCGCACCCGGAGGCCGCCGGCGAATATTCACGAAGACAGGAGCCATTCTCCACATACAAGTGTCCGCCGGAACTCTTGCCGGGCCACGAGCAGACACCCGAAATCGAGACCGAACTTTCTCTACATTTGCGCTGGCCCCGAATCGAGATGGAAGACACCTGCACCGTGGATGTATAATTTAGCGCACCATTCGTTGTATCCCTGCTTTTAGCTCAAGGACGCGAAGTTCTCCTACTACGCATGTGACCTGCTGCAGGTGGCAAATGTGACGGCAAACCCTCGCCGCAGATTGATCGGAGAAACCAGGGTATGCAACAGGATTTCCGCTCACTTCACCGACACACTATTCCTTGCCATAGGTGTCGGCGAAATCATCGGAAATTGCGGACCACATCATTTGCTTTCTCTTTCAGATCAAAGTTTCCGGTCTCCCAAAGACCATCAGAAACAGGAAGGAGCTCTGCACGTGGGTGAAGTCGATCTTGGATTATGGCGGGATCGAGTTCGACGAAGTGTCCGCGAATTGCAAGCCAGTACAATGCCTAACGTAAATCCCATGTCTTTATTTTACATTTCCGTTTAGCGTTCCCGGCACGAAGGAGCGCATCGAGAGACTGTTGACCAGGGTCATTTTGGGCCACGCCATTGAGCTGGGCTTTTGGACTGACGCTGTCCCGTTGGACCCAATGTCTTACTTCGAGGTACTATTTCTGGTTTTCCGGAATTTTTGTTTCAGTATGCCATGGCCGAATCCTTTCCCTGGTCGTATCGATGGAGCTCCAGCGCTCATTTCAATGAAGTGCAGGTATGCAGTTCTCCTTCTACACAAAAGGCTCTCTAGGTGATTTTCGACAAAAACAACAAGCTGGACACACAAGAATTTCTTGCTCAAATGGTCGTGAACGATGTCTGGCTGCGGTTCCCGCCTGCGCTGAATGGACGCGCCCCTCTCGAACATTTTGCCCAGTACACGACAGGATTATGGGTGCCGTCCGAGCTCAGACGGTTGCTCCAGCCGGAATTGGAAGCGTTCAATCAGAGGTATTTATTAATCTTATGGCATCATCGAGCCGTATGTGTTTCTAGGCCATCGGAACATCGAGGCTACTGGCTTAGGGTGTCGGACTCTACCGACCTTGCTCACCTTCGGATGGATCTCCTCAAAGTCTCCGGCTGGCCGTTGGCGTACGTGTCTTGCTTGATGCGTTTAAAGGGGTGGGGGGGGGGGGGGGTCGCCCCCCCCCAAAAAAAAGGGGGGGAGGCGACAGGGGGGGGGGGGCGCCGGGGGGGGGGGGGGGAGACGCGGTCCCCCAACCGGCCGGCGGGGGCGGGGGCCCCCCCCCCCCCTTTAATCTTTTTTTTGTTTAGAAATGTGGAAGCAGCACATGATCAGCTCGTCGCATTGTTCGCCCCAACCAGTTACAGCGTACGCGAAGCTGACCAAGATTGGCTGCTGCATGGGTTTGGCAATATTTGATTTGATATCCTTTGTTTAGGTTTGGCGCGACCCTTCTACAACAGAAATTGGACCGTTTCCGCGAAGAAAGCAACGCCAGATTCCTCATTGATGTCGACGCGACGCGCATGGAGTTCAATATTTTTGCCGGAGAAGCAGCAACCGTGCAGATAGTGGCTCTTATTGAGGCGTCGGTAGTCGATAGGTACTACTACCCGCCGTTTTATTTCATTTGATTTAGGGATCTTGTCGCCATCACTGCAACCTTTGCCCTCGGCCAGAAGCCATACTTTGATGATTTCTACGAGCTGGTTCGGTGCTACGAAGGCTACAAGCAAAGTATGCGCAATTTTGAGCGTCAAAATTTTCTTATCTCAGGCGACGGGCATCGCACCGCCGAATCCTTGCCGTTTTATGCGAGCACTGCGCCACAGACACTGGAATTTCACGGCACCTGGCAGCAATATCGAATGGCGGTGGCCTCCCTGGCCAAACTTCGTGACGTGGTAACTATTATTTGCTATCCCGACTGTGTTCTAGGCTCTCGAGTATTTCAAGCAATGCTGTGATGGTTTGCCGTCTCCACCGCCCTCCACCGCAGTTTGCCCGATCTGCCTGCACCCTATTAGGAGCGACTGCTACAAGTTGAAGGGATGTGGCCATGTGTTCTGCCGGATTTGTCTCAATCGACAGGTATGATGTTTGTATCTATCTTATCCGGCCTCCTTCTCAGGTGCTCACCTGCGAGACCAGCCGCGAGAAGGTTCCTTTTGCTTGTGCGGCATGCGAAGAGCCCTTCCGCCCCGTTGATATCCAGGTACAGATCCCATGGAAATAATTTTTTTGTTTTTAGCGCTTATTGCTCGGCTACAACTTGGGATACGGCGAGGGATTTCATGCGTGGTGGCTGGATGCGGAGAAGCTGCGGAACTTTACGAATGCGCGCCTCAACAACTTGCGGACGCTGGCCGACCGCCCCTTCTTTTGCTGCCTGACGCCAGATTGTGACGGAATGTTTGAGGTACAAAATAGTGTTTGATAAAATAGATTTGTTTAGCCATCGCAATGGTCGTCTACCGTTTTCGTATGCGGAAAGTGCCGTCGCCGACACTGTCGCACTTGTGGGCTCGACGATCACGGTACAACGAGCTGTCAACAAGAAAATGCGCTGCGCAGTGAGTGGCTTTATCCGCTTACCAACATTACAATCTAGATGACGCTTCATTCTCGCTACTTGCCTACCAGGAAAAATGTGGCCTAGACATGGTTCGCGAATGCCCAAGAAGAGGTTGCCAAGCAATCATTGAGAAGATCGTCGGCTGCCATCATATGCACTGCCCAGAATGCTCGATCCACTTCTGTTGGATGTGCTATTACATGGTGAGCGGATTTCTGGTGGTTTTTATTTCGATTTCAGGATGACAAGTTCGCGGAGATCTACAAACACTTGTCCGACGTTCACTCGAAGTGGACCGATAGACCGTTCGTTTTCGCAGAGGACGGCCGGCTTTTGGGTAAGGCTGACGCTCTATCATCTAAATCCTTTTCCAGAACACCCGCCCGACGATGAACGCGAATGGCACGCCGCGATGGAAGCGGTCTGGGGCATCTGATCGGACGCCCCTCGAAATAATAAAATGAAAAATGCATTGATATTAGCATTATTATTGGTTCGCTTGTTTTGTTTTAATTGCATGGGTATTGATATTGTTGTTGTTACTGGATAAATCGTTGCTTGGGTCTACAAGGGTTTTACTAACAGGCTACGAATCAGCTTTCCGTATTTGATTGCGAATCAGCGCCCAAAGACTGCTCTCGGGATGGCGAAGAATGAGCCCGGCACCACGGAACCCATCCATCCGCCGTTATTCTGGTTCTGAAAGGGTTGGGAGTGAAGTGGTGACCTAGAGTTTGAGGTACTGTACTATTAGCGGGAGGGGGGAGCTAATGTAGAATTGTTTGCCCGTTTTTGGTCATTTTTATAACCCTTTATCCCAAGAAATGCTCCATTTTTATAGGTTTTTATGAGCTTTTTATATCTAAAAACCGTGTAAAATGGTATTGTATTTGCCTATGACCGTGCAGGATTACTGGGAAAAAGTAGTTTCCCCCTGCTAACAGTCCAGTACCGAGCTTTAAACTCACCGCTGGGCGGACCTCAGGTCCGGAGTCTCGGTAGTTGTTATAATTGTTATTCTGGAAATGGAAACGCGCTAGTCGGGGTCCTCATACGGCTTACCTGGTAATATGCCATAGATGTGAGCACCATCATCGCAACGATCATCAACTTTTTCAAGATTGCCATGTCGAAGCGTGAAGAATGACTGATTCCGCAGCATCCACTCGAGCATTATATCCCACTTCGACAACCTCTCGACAAATAGCCCCACAATAACGACAATGCTGCGCCGCCTCAATAACGATATTTGCTAAAAACCTTTCGCCACGTGAAGACCCCTACAACATTCAACGATGTTTTTTGACTTGTGCACGTTGCGTACGTAGAATAGCTGGTCGTGAATTATGGCGGTCGGAAAAGAAAGGAGCAGACGCTTTTTGGTCGCTAAAAAATTGGACTCGCCGTCTGCCATTTGATCTGATCGCCAGCGTAATTAATTTTCGGGATGGACTGGGAGGGGAGAATGAATTAGGGGCGTTGGGGGCGGCCGACTACAACGTTCTCTGTTTTTCTGGTAATGGGCGTGGCCCTTGAGCACTAATGGAATTCTTTAAGGTTTTGAATGCTTGATCGGGCCACGATTTCTTTCGGCTCGCACGGGTTCCTGGCGCGTTCCATGGATGTTGACAATAGCGGGGCGGGATCGCCTGGAGGCGTCTCAAACAAAGCCGAAAACGGGAAATCGTGTGATTGACCGCCGCCCACCCGCCATTACGCAAACATTCTCCAAGGCTAGGTTTTTCTGGTGTTTTTTTTAATTTGAATGCGAATTTTGAGGGTTTTTGTAGGCTCCTCGGTGCTGGACTATTAGCAGGGGAAATCTAATTTTTGTTTTTCCATATCTGCCTATCTGTTCGCCTTAAATAGTGTATCTCTTTATCTTATCTATTTTATTTTTATCCCAAATTTTGGAAAATTTGCTATGTTTTGCTGATATTTTGTTTGTAAATACTGTGTAATATGTTGTACAAATTCTTTTTACAATTAGTTGTACAATTACAAATTTGTTATTGGTCCGCACAAAAATGCTGTGAAAAATTAGTTTCCCGCTCCGTTAACCCCCCCCCCCCTGCTAATAGTCGAGCACCCGAAATATTAGATTTTTGTGGTTTGAATTTTTTTGGCTCCTCGTTCGGGTTGATTGGCTAAATGAATACAAACCGCGACCAAATTTCTTTGCGCCACGTAAAAGCCCGCATTCTAACCTGCAGCTGTTTGTGATGCGTCGCCTGATCTTTCGACCGTCCACAATGTCATTGTACGCCTTTTTCTCCGGCACCTAGCCACTCCCTCAACCCGGGATGGCCTTGGGAAAATCGACAGGATCTCTTCCTCCCGAAACGATCACCGCGAAAGGGCAGTGAGGGGAGCCGGGATTCGCCTGTTTTCCGGCCCTCAGCCGCACTCCCCTTTTATTTTGTCGCGATGACGAGGGGGGGCCTTGGCGGGGGAAGACGCACTCTTTGACCGGTCTTCTTTTAGGGTTTTCGGATTGAGCTTTCCTGTTTTACTAAAAATCGTAATTAGTCTCACCTCTAAGCCCGTTATCATTTCTGACATTTTTGGCCAAAAACCAATTTTTCCGTATTTTTTATGATTTTGAAAATTTTTTATTTAATTTTTTTTTTGAAGTTTAGATCTGAGAACATGCTAAAAAATAGTTTGCTTTCACCAACGAGGCGTAAGGGACTCTGGAGATAAAGTTTTAAGTTTACGCATTTTTGTGGTTTTTCGTAATCAAAAAAGTACTCTTAAAAGCATAATCTTGGGATTTAATTCTAGGTATTTTCCTGAATTTTCTATCACTTTATCACCCAAGGTTTTGCAGATTTCCGAGAAATGCGCCCGTCGTTTCCCGGAATTTAAATGGGCATACCTACCTAGGCGGGGGCGCTGACTCGCCGAATTCGGCCTTGGCTCCTCGGGCAAATCTCTTCGATTCTCCCCCCAAAATCGTCCATCGACAACAATACCTCCTCGTCGCGTACCCGCGTGTTGATATTTTCGCAGGAAATCTTTTTTGGTCAAACCGAACCCCCGTGTCGGCTCCATATTTGGCGTATCGCACCTCAGCGGCCCCATTACGCAGATGAGCCAATAAAAATTTGGGGTCGAAAACAAGGGCGGGCAAGTTGTTTAGCGTTCGCTTGTTTCATCAAAGGAACGCTTTATTATTTATGCTCGCTGCTTGCCTAGAATTAGATTTTTGAAATTCTTACGATGTTTTTGCATTCATTCTTACGTGCTTGTTAGCTAGAAAAGGGAAAAGTTTTTAAAGACTAGATCTAGACAATTCTTGTATTTTCGTCAGGTTCCGCTACTTTCCAGCTCCTTTCTGTTTTTTCGATGCTTTCGCAATATCGGGGGGGGGCGAATTTTTCCTATAAGCCCAGGAACGTCTAGTAATAGTAACTATTTTAATAGTATTTTTAGTAAATGTGCTGTATTTACAGTGGCAAAGGTACAAAACTTGATTCAATTTCAAGTCGAATTTTGGTCGAAAAATCGCGATTTGTGTAATTTTTTAACTAAATTAGTGAAGTTTAGCAAATAAAGATGAATCCATAACAAACAAAAAAAACATTTAGAAACATTTTCTTTATCTAATATTAGAAACATGGGAGCCTTAGAAAAGGTTGCTTCCCGCGCGATGAATACGCTTTCCCTTTAAATAACTCCTGTTATCACGTGGCATCTGATCACCGCCTAAATCCATTCGACCGTACAGATTATCCCGCCTATCCTCCCGGCGCATTTTCTCGGAAACTCGGAACCGAGGCGAAAAGTGTGTTTCGCGAGTGGCTGCCGAGGGTACGTCACGCTCTGGAGCGCGCTCCTTTTGGGCGGACGACCTGTTTTCGCGCAGCACCAGCACCACTATTGGCTCGACCTCTTCCCCCAACATTTTTCGACCAATACCCTATTGTTACGAGTTTACGGAACTTATATTACAATACATTAAAACCCCCCAATCGTCAAGGCATTTTGTTTCGAGTTTTGGCTAGAATTCGCTAGGTAGCCCTCTTCGGCTTCATCGTGAAGTATGAATCGTCAATTTTACCATTTTTAGAACCACCTATGCAGTGCCGAACAAAATGAGCGCCAACACTCGCACCGACTGCTTCTACAACCTCAGCGCCGAGGCACGCCTCGACTATTTTGAGTTACGTGCTTTTGCGTTATGGGGGATCAGAAATGCCTAGTGACATAACATAAACGATGCAGAGCAATAATTTTGCGACTTCAAAAGCAGTATTTTTGTCGCTTTCAGCATGAAAATGAGGTGGAAGTTAACCGGATGTTCCGCATGTTCCACGGCTACATGCTCGGGCCCCTCGGGCTGACGGCCATCATTTTCAGCTCGCTATTCATAAGTGAGTCCCAAACAGGAAGCGATGAACCCCAGTATTTTAGTCACAACTTTCCGCGCGATCCGGCTGCGTCGCGTGTCGCGCAAGCATCACGTTCTCCTGTTAAACCGGGCGATCGGTGACTTGCTGGCGGCGTGCACGGCAACGGCCAACGCTGGGCTGGCGATCTGGTGGGAGGATTTGAAGTGAGTGGTTTTGTACAAGTTAAAGTCGAGGTTTTAGTCGTGACATCGCCTTCCTCATCGAGTCATTTTTCTTCGCAGCGTTCTGGAGCGCGCTCGTCTCGTACACAAGTTTGTCCGTGTTAAAGGTAGGGTTTTCATCTCACTAATTTGTTTTTCGTTTAGCTGTACGCGGTGTGGCAACCTCTCGCCTACCGGAATACGTTCACCTTCGACAAATGCATCTATATCATTGTTTCCAGGTGAGCATGGATGTTATTTTACCATTTTGTAAATCAAAAGTAAAGTAAATTAAATTTTGTATTTGTAAAGTAAATTTATTGAACCGGTTTTTTAATTTCATTGCCGGACTTTTATAGGTATAAATTAGTGCCCATTTCCAGCTGGATTGCGTTTGTGATTATCTGCGGGATGACGATGGGTGTGACGGCGTTGGTGCGCGTGCAGTGGATGAGCGAGTGGAGCGGGCCAGAAACGCCAGGCCAATACTAACAACGTCTTTAGGTGCAAAGCGGAAACTTGTCTGCGGATCATGTACCGCTCGCGCAACACGTTCACCTGCTTCGTCTACGCGTTCACGATCGTTGTCTTCTTGACGACTGGTAATTTTTTTTAAATACCTAATTGGTAACAGATTCTGGGGCTTTTGCATTATCGGGGGATTTTTTTAATATTAATAGTACAAATGTTTCTAAAAGATTTTTCTCTATTCCTAAACGTAAAAACTTGATAAATTCTATTAAAAATTCAAAAAGGCTGATTTAGGATAACCTTTTCTTTTTCAAAATTTTTAAAAGATCTTTTAGCTTTAAATACAGCATGTTTTACCAAAAATACTCTAAGATAATTTCCATGAATTTAGTAGCCATTTCTGAACC